GCCTGACAGGCTGCCTGGCACTGGCTGCCTGGAGCAGAGGTCAAGAGACGCTGAGCAGGGGCTGCAAAGACTCATGCAACGTCCCAGCACCATCCCAGCTCCGTCCCAGCCGCCAAACAGGAGGTGTGGGCTGAGCGGGAAGGCGGGTGGTCAGGGCATGTGCTGTGCGTGGTTATGCACTGGCGTTACAGGCGGCATCTCGTTGATCTGTCAGTAAGCTGTGGGGTTGGCATTGACACGCTCATCCGCATTTGAGGACAGGAACCAGGAGATCCTATGGGTCACAGGCCGGTCAGCGGCAGAGCCCAGTCTCACCCAGAATCAGAGCCGCCCCCACCCTGGGCCCTGGCAGCAGCCCCTGGCCGTGCTGGGTGCGCAGCCTCAGCGTCTCCCCCACTCTCAATCTGTCTTTGTTCTCCCTGCTCCTGGGAAGGCAGCTGCTAGTGGGGATGTGGGCTGGGGGCAGGGACCATGGAGCCTGGCTTATGGGCAGGCAGCGGGCAGCCGTCCTGTCCTGGCACAGGCAGGGTGGGGGCTGGACACCCTGGGGCCTAGCGAGGCACACAGCAATCAGGACCTGAACCCTGAAGCTGGGGCCTGGCTCCAACCAGCTGCTGCCCTTCCCCTCCCAGGTTGAGAGAGGCCTTTTCTGAGGACAGAGGAGGGACCTGGGGGCCTCAGAGGGAGGCATCTCTGAGTGTGTCTGGTCTCGAGGGAGGAAACCCAGGTGGGACATTTCTGGTGATGACCTCCTGGTCTTCATGCTCCTGGCCACCTGCCCCCATTGCCCAGCAGACCCCCTGCAGGGTACGTCTGGGGTCTGCGATAGGCCACCCCTGGGCTCATGCCACCTGCAGGGCCTGATCAGGCCCTGTGCCCTCCCCAGTCCCTAACCACAGATCTGCACACGTCACTCCCAGCCACAGCCATAGTAGGTGCTGACAGGCCCTCAGACAGACTCAGGAAGTACTTCCAGTGCAGCCGCTGGTCCCCCCACGCCTCTCCCTGGGCCCCCAGACTCCAGCCCAGACCCCCGAGAATGCCAGAGGTGACCAGGCCCTCAGGGAGCACCCCGTTGGCCCTGCTCTTTGTGCAGTGGAGACACTGTGGCCTGGAGAAGGTGACTGGCGAGCTGCCTGCCCACCCCAGCCCTGCACACCCTCAGTGCAGGTGGAAGCGAGAGCCTGGCTTCCTGGTGTGGGGCCACCGCCCTTCCTGTCCTCCCTTGCCTGGGCTATGCTTGCCGACCCTACTCCCAGTGAGCCCTCCTTCCAGTGAGCTGGGGCATTTCCTGTTTGCTGCATCCCCCACCCCCCCCCGCCCCACAGACAGAGCCACCCTCCTCCCTGTGGCTTCCACAGGGCTCTGTTCCTAACCCAGGAAGACGTACCTCCCCCAGGCCTATTGTCTGCCCCAGATCCTGGGGACACAGAGAGCCCAGCTGTAGCCTGGCTCCCGGACCAGTGGTGTCCCCTGGCATTCAGTGCTGGCCAGCCCGGACCCCCAGCCACCTCCACCAACACTTGCCAGAGTGCCATGAAGGACCCCTGGCTCCCAGCTCTCTCCCTGGGTGACCCAAGCAGGGGCTGCCACCGCTCTGAGCCCAGCTTCCCTCTGGGAGATGTTGCTGCTGTCTTTTGATCATTTTGCTTGCTTTCTTCCTCAGTAGCAAACAACGGTATTCATCCTAGATGCAGCTTTGGTTAGTGATTGGGCAGGTGTCCTGGTGGCATCGCACACACCATGTGATTGAACTCCGTCACCATGTGGCTGCTTCCCATCTTTGTCTTTTGATCATGATGCTGCTGAGAGCGTCTTTCTACCTACCCACTCCCAGGGGGCCCTTCTGTCCTGCTGTGGGTCCCCACAGTGGCCCAGGGGGCCCTCTTTGCACAACAAGCAGAGTTCAAGATCTTGGAGGGCTTTGGAGGCAGGAGTCTCACACTGCATCCAGATCTTAGGGACTGCAGGCAGCATGAGGGCTAGAGTGCTTCTTGGGTGTGAGATGGGCCAGGGGACAGTGAGGACACAACCAGCCCTCACTGAGGCCCAGTGCGCCCCATGACCCTGGACAGGTGGCAACGGGTGGACCCCCATCCTCGCCTGCCTTGAGGCCCCCTGTATACAGGCCCTCCCTGGGCCTTGCCGGCAGTCGGTGAGCCACCAGGTCAGTGGAGTTCCCTCAAGGGGCCGTTGGCCGGGTGGGGAAGGTGACACATGCCGGAGGCTCAAAGGAGCTGGTAGTCTGAGTGGGAGGGAGGGGAATGGGGGTCATGGTAGGACAGGCTCAGCTCCAGGTGCCTCCACCGCCCTGCAGGGCCTGGGCTGCCTAGAACCCCGGGGTGCTGCCAGGAACGCGTGCAGTTCTGGAGATCCATGGGTTGCCAAGCAGTGGAAAAATTTGGGCTCTTGGAGGAGCTAAAAATACAGTGTGGCAGCCCCTGCCTCCTAGTTCCGGAATCCTCTCCTGCCGTTCTGCCCGCCCACCCCGTGGAAGACAAGTTCCCTCCCTGTACCCTCACCACCAACGCTGGCTCAGGGCCCAGAAGCATCCATCCCTGTGCCAGTGCCAGAAGGGCCACACTGCGGCTGCCTGCCCACTCCCAGGCAGTGGCCCCCACAGGCGCTCATGTGCCCAGCCGGTGCCTGCCCTACCCCCGCCTCTGCTTCAGGATCCCCAGAGCCCCTTGGTCCCAGGCACACAAGGCAGTACCTGCCTCCCCAGGGCTGTCCGGCTCAGGGCTTGGCCTGTTCCTCGTGGGGAGCCTGGACTCAGGCAGACCTCTCCCTTCCCTACCAGTGGGGCCTTCACACGGGAGGGGGCTGTTCCAGGCAGACTCAGAACATGTCACAGTGGGGCCTCCAGGCCCATTGGTGCTGGCTGAGGGCGTAGGACCCGCCACACGGTGCCGTGGAAGGCCCTCCTCGCCTGGTTCCTGGGGCTTCAGGGGCTGGCTCAGGTCCCTCAGGTACCCAGGATTCAGGCCTGGGTACCCTAACCCCAGCCCGTGTGCCACTCAGGGTCATGGGCCCATGCAGGAGCCCCCAGCTACTCTCCACAGCTCGGGGCTGGGCCTGCCTCAAGAGCCCACACTCCCCGGCTCTGGTTTTCTGTCTGCACCGCAGGGGCTGGGCACATGGTCTCAGGTCTAGTGAGGGCCAGCCATGTCCCTGTCCCCACCCACACCACACACTCAGCTTGACTGCTGACTGCCAGGCGGGGCAGAGGCCCAGCGGCTGCCCGAGCGTCAGTGCAGCTGCCCTAGCGTGTAGGCATTCGGATGGAGGTGCTGGCAGCACCACACCAGGCTGGCCAGGCCCAGGCCCAGAGGGGGGCCCTGCCTGTAGGAGCTGGAGTCTGAGGGGAGAGGCGTGGCCCTGTCCTCTGGAAGCCCCACGCTAGTGCTGAAGAACCACGGTGACGTCCCACTAGCGTGGGTGGGGCGAGCCCCTCAGACCTCAGAGTCTTCGTCTGCAGAAGACCTGCCGTGTGCGGTTCCATTGGTGCCGGTGGACTGCTGGGGGTGGGGTGGATGGGACGCCCCTTCTTGGCGTCCTGACCCTTTTGCTGTCTGAGGCGTGAGGTCTGGCCTGAGCCATGGGTACTGGGCCCTGCAGAGCCTGGATGGTCCTGCCCTGCCTCAGCCAGAGTTGGTGTCGGCTGTAAAAAAGATTGCGAAGAACGCAAATTCCTGTGCCTGTGGGGAGGTGGCCACGCCCTACAGCCGGGGCTGGGGAGCTCTGAGGACACATTCCTGTGCTGGTGGCCCCGCCAACCCACTTTCCAGATGGACAACAGAGAAGGGCAGCCTGCCCCGGGGCACACAGCTCAGCAATGAGACTCCCGCCCCCTGCCCTTCTCAGTTGGCACTGGCACCTTCCAGGGTATTGTTCCCCGTAGCCCCGTGCCCCTGAGATCAGTACACTGTGGGTTCCTTCTGGAATCCTTGCAGAAGTGGACACCACCCCCCAGTAAAAACAGGCAAGGCTGTTTGTGCAGAGCTGGCTGTAGCAGGGAGTCGGCCACTGCCACCCGCGTTTAGCAGATACTCAGGCGGGCAGGGCAGTGGGAAGCCTCATGGTTTTCTCATGGATATTTCACTCTATACATAGAAAGCTTTTTATAGACAAAGGGAAGGCTCGGGGATGCCCTGAGAGAGGCTGCTGGCTGGAAGTCGGGCTCCTATGATGGGACAAAAATCACGGAAGCTGTCAGTTATTAACGAGGTCCCGGCCGTTTGGGGCCAGTGGCCAGATTGCGGGTCAGAGTGCTGCATATATGGTCTGGCCGTGGTGTGTTTGCAGGTTCAGCCTCATGCTGAAAAGCAGTTGGAACATTCCCCATCGTAGAGACCGGGGGGCACAGATGAGATCGGGCAGCCTTGGTGGCATCGCAGAAGGAGGAAGGCAGCTCTGGTCTCATCCTCCGGGTCCTCAGCTGGAACCCTGTCTGTGCTGGGCCGTAGCCCAGCAAGGCCCTGCTACACTCACTGCCCCCAGACAGCACCTGGTGGGGCACGGTCAACCGGGGCAGCTCAGACACAGAGCTGGGCACCCAGGCACAGGGGTATGGAAAGCTGATGGGCAGGAGGGCCAGTTTCCTCCCACCGTGGCTCCACCCCACTGACCAAGGGGGCTCCTCTTGACTGGGGTCTTTCAGGGACTTGCACAGGGCAAGGAGCACTGGGCAGTGCCAAGAGGGGCAGTACTCAGGTCAGGGAGCACCTTCGAGTCCAGGGACACCCTGGGGCCTGGGGCACAGGTGGCTCGCGGAGGCACTGCTTGTCTCTAAAAGGTCAGGATTTTTTGCGTGGAGGGACCCCTGGGGCTCTTGGCTGGAGAGGACACTCTGGATGCCAGGGGCCGGGCCTGGGAGAGTTCATAACTCCGTCCTCTCAGCCTGTGCCAAGGAGACTCCGGCCAATGGAAGCGGGGGAGGAAAGGAGGGCCAGTTCTGGGGCCTCTTTAGGCAGCAGCAGCCAAGGTGGGTGGGAATACGTGCAGAGGCTCGGCTGCCTGGCTCTTCATGGTGGTGGGAGCAACCCCTACTGCTACCAGGAGGGGCGTTGGGGACCCGGGTGGCTCTGGCAGCTCAGCGGTCCGCAGCAATGAGAAGCCAGGGGAGCGTGAGGAGCAGCCCAGGGCAGGGCCCAGAGTGGGTGGGCAGAGGCGGCCGGAAGGTCCTGCGCATCTGGGTGAGTGGATAGCCACTGGGTGACCAAGAGGGCCGGGCCTGGGAGGGCAGCTTAAAACCACAGTGGGCCGGGGGCTCCGGGCTCTCTGCTGTACAGTGCCCAGACCAGGACCCCCTGCCGGGAGGAGGGGCATCCCAAGGACAGCCTCTCAGGATGCTCCTGGCAGCCTGATGCTGGAGGTGCGGAGGAGGAAACTGAGGCCTAGGCAGGATGAGTGACTGGGCCCAGGTCTGCTGGTGAGGGCCCGAGCTGGGGACACGCAGATCAGAGCTCTGGCTTACACCTGTCAGGCTGCCTCCTGGAAGGAACCCGCTGGCCTCCCGGGGCAGTTGAACAGGTGGAGGGCTGAGGGGTGGTGCGGGGAGTAGGGGCTGGACTGCCGGAAACACCAGGCTGGGGAGTGGGCCTGAGACCTCAAGGGCAGGTGCTCCAGGACACTCTCCCAAGGCAGGAGGGGAGGAATGGGGCCTCCAGCGGTGAGGACAGCAGCGGGGCTGGGGCCAGAGCCGCCTGGGGAGGCAGGCGCTTGGGTTCTCAACCCTGCTTGGCTTCTGTGACCTCAAATGCCCCTCAGCCGGGGGTCCCCTGACTTACCAGGCTGCGCAGCACTTGAAGCAAAGCCATGCGGGACCTCCAGTCACAGCCCAGCCGTGCCCAGGTGAGGGACTGTGGGCACAGACCCAGCTTCTCTGGGACCCAGCCGCCTCTAGTTCCCCACCTGTTGCAGGAGGTATAAAGTGCCTGCCTTGGAGGTGGTGGGAAGCCAAGGGCCAGGGTGGAGAGTGCTGGGCCAGGGTGGAGGCTCAGAGCGTGTCCCTGCCAGGCCCGGCCCCCGAGCTCCCTCCCCAAGGCTCCACGCAGCCGTTCTCAGACGCTAAATATAAGATCTGAGCCATACATGGTTGCAGGAGGGCCTGGGATGCCCCTGACCTTCGAGGCCAGTTCCCAGGGTCTGTGGCTGGGGACAGCGGCTGGGGAGATGTGGCGGCGTGGAGCTGATGTCAGAGGTGCAACCGCCTGTCCTGCTGTTCTGTTTTGGGGAAAGGCACGTGTTGGGGCTCTTCTGGGCTGGGCCTGTTACCAGGGTGTTCCCAGGGCTGAAGTCAGACCTGTTGCGACTGAATTCTGGTTAAACCCTGAGTGCCAAGGGTCTCCGTCTTCCTGTTGGTGTGAGCCCCCCACCCACATGCAGATGGGCAGACTGAGGCCCAGGGGAGACCCGGGAGCCGCCTCTCCTCCCCAGCCATGCTCTTGACGCTGTGGGCAGCCCAGGCAGTGCCTGAGGTTTGGAATCTCCCTGTCCATATTGTCCACTGGGGCGGGGGAAGTGCCCTGGGGTGAGATAAGGGAGCCTCAGATGCGCCGTTTTGTTGCATCATGACCACGGGTAGTGTTCCAGCCAGTGGAGCCTCCCGCTCCCCCAAGTCCTTCCCAAGCTCATCCGGTCCTGTCAAGTCGCAGGGGCCGTGCTGGCCTCGGAATTGCGGTGCAGGTCTGAGCCGGCTCCTCCCCTCCTAGCCCTGAGCCTGGGGGTCCACATGCATGCAGTGGGGCCTTTCCTGCCTGCTGCCTCAGTTGCCGAAATTCGGTCAGGGATGGGTACAGGGAAGCCTAAGATATAGTGGGGGACACAGAGCTACTCCTAACCCTCAGCATGACACGTGAGCAGGAATTACAGCAGAGAAACTGAGGCTGAGGGAAGTGGCCCGTCTGCACTGGTGGCCAGGAGGACAGCCCCCATCCCCTCCCCGCTGACGGCTCCCTGCCCTCTGCCCGCAGCTCGGCAAGATGTCGGTGAAGGAGGGCGCACAGCGCAAGTGGGCAGCGCTGAAGGAGAAGCTGGGGCCACAGGACTCGGACCCCACAGAGGCCAACCTGGAGAGCGCGGACCCTGAGCTGTGCATCCGGCTGCTCCAGATGCCCTCTGTGGTCAACTACTCCGGCCTGCGCAAGCGCCTGGAGGGCAGCGACGGCAGCTGGATGGTGCAATTCCTGGAGCAGAGCGGCCTGGACCTGCTGCTCGAGGCGCTGGCGCGGCTGTCGGGCCGCGGCGTGGCACGCATCTCGGATGCCCTGCTGCAGCTCACCTGCGTGAGCTGCGTGCGCGCTGTCATGAACTCGCGGCAGGGCATCGAGTACATCCTCAGCAACCAGGGCTACGTGCGCCAGCTCTCCCAGGGTGAGCCGCAGTGCGGGAGGGCCGCCCAGGCAGACACTAGGGACCTGGTATGAGGCTTCAGCCTGGGGACCCACCAGGAGGAAGGCAGCCAGACAGGCAAGGAGGGCTTCCTGGAGGAGGACTGGCTTCCTGGGCTCAGGAAAAACATCCACATTCACTCCTAGTCTGAGGCTTCCGGGTCACCCCAGTCCCCGCACTGCTGCACCAGCGGTCCCCCTGTGCCCCTCTGTGTTCTATGTCTCTGCTCCATCCTTCCTCCCCATCCTGTGCTGGCTCCCACCCTCTGGCCTCTCTGCCCTTGTCCACACCTCGGCGGCAGAAGTCACCTGAGTTAGAGATGCAAATCCACCCGAGTGGCTCCTACATACACCTGCCTGGCTCCAAGCCCTTCAGCCTCAGCCTAGACAAAGCCCTTCAGGTCTGGCCCACATCTACTGACGGTGTCACCCTCCACCTCCCAGCGCCTTCCCCAGTGTCTCCCTCCCTGCCCTGTCCCCTACTCCAGCACCCAGGAACCTCATCCCCGGCAGGCAGGCCTCTTGTCTCTGCCTCTGCTCATGTTTTCTGCCTTTGTGTCCTCCAAGGTCCTGAACTAAGCCCTTAAGCCCCAGCTCCCTTTCCCCTCCTCCAGGAAGTCTCCCCAGCCTGTGCCCAAAGTTAGTCCTGGCCCCTTGAGAGAACCCCTTGCTGTGCCGCTCCATGGCTGCTGCCAGGTCCCACCGATGCTTGGGGATGAGCTAGGCTGGGCAGTGATGGGCAGGGCGGGACCCATGGGGGCAGCAGGTACCTGTGCGGGCAAGCAAGCCAGAGGCACCTCGTTTCTGTTGGACCCAGGGGACAGAGGCAGGTGCAGGGGCCAGCCGCTCTCAGCCTGTCTCCCTAGCCTGGGCCTGGCAGGGCCCCTCTATGGAGTCTTTTGTGAATTGTTCTCAGCAGGGTCAGATGAGAGACACCCCCAGAACTTTCACAGCTCCAGGGATGGGGTGGGAGGCAGGGGTTCATAGGAATGAGGTTATGTCTGCCGTAAACACAGTAAGTGCTGCATTGGGAGAAAACCTGGGCCCAGAGCCAGTGACAGGATGGGGCGGCTGCCTCCAAGCCCTTCCCTGCAGGGTCTGGCCCTGTGGTCCAGGAGCAGAGTCAGGACACCGAGGAGTGGGCAGCTCGTTGGGTCCCAGCCCTTTGTTCAGCACTGCGGTGGGCCACGGACAAGTGCCCGGCACCCCCTGGCGTCTGCCTGCCAGGCCCAGAGCCCCAGCCCTGAGCCCAGCTGCACAGGCATAGGAAAGGGTGCATTGGCCCTGCTGAGCCTGCCCACTCCACCCTGGCAGCCCTGGACACATCCAACGTGATGGTGAAGAAGCAGGTGTTTGAGCTGCTGGCCGCCCTGTGCATCTACTCTCCCGAGGGCCACGCACTGACCCTGGACGCCCTGGACCACTACAAGGTGGGCGGCAGGGCCTGGGCCTGGGCACGTGGGGCTCCCTGCCTGGGTGTGCCCTGACCCCGCCCTCCCCGCAGACGGTGTGCAGCCAGCAGTACCGCTTCAGCATTGTCATGAACGAGCTCTCCGGCAGCGACAACGTGCCTTATGTAGTCACCCTGCTCAGCGTGATCAACGCCGTCATCCTGGGCCCCGAGGACCTGCGCACGCGCACCCAGCTGCGGAATGAGTTTATCGGTGAGCGCCTGCCCTGGGCTGCGTGCCCGCTCCTGCCCGCCTCTTGGCCAGCGCGTCCCATGCTGCATCCACCTGGGGAGGTGGGAGCGCCACAAAACCTGCCCCCGGCCCAGGGCCCCAGAGGAAGGCACCATCTCGGGCCTGCCACCACCTGCCCCTTCGATGGACGTGGGCCTCAGAACGCCTGGGGGTCAACCCTGGACTGTTCTCAGTTACAAGGCTGGCCAGGCAGTGGAGTGGGACAGGGGGCTTGAGACCTGGTTCCCACCCTGCCTGTTCTGAGCCCTGAGTAAGCATCACTGTGTGTCCAGCGTGACGTCTCCCCTCATGGCTCCCCTCTGGAGCCTCAGGTCTCTGGTGTCCCGTGACTGCAGCAGAGCAGGCCGGGTGCTCTGGGTGGCAGAAGTGAACTGGGGACGGTGGGGTGTGGCCTCCAAACCCTCTGACCCTGTCCGTCCCTTCGCAGGGCTGCAGCTGCTGGATGTCCTAGCTCGCCTGCGGTGAGTCCCCACTGTGGCGGTCCTGCCGGCTGCCCCTACTGCTCCCAGGGCCAGGCCCACCTGCCCTTTGGATCCCAGCCACCTCACCTGAGCAGCATCTCCAGATGGCAGGGAGGTGGCTCCCCCGGAGTAACCCCAGGGGGTCCAGCCAGAAGCCAGGTCTCAGGCTAGAGTCCAGCTCACTGTCCCTGGCAGCTGCCCACAGAAACTAGGGTTGCAGCAGCCATAGAAAGGACAGAATGAGCTCATATCCTTTGCACACCGTGGATGGAGCTAGAGGCCGTGATCCTAAGTGAACCAACCCAGAAACAGAAAATGAAATGCCAGTAAGAGGGAACTACAGGGTGATTCACGTGGATGCAAGATGGAGACAGGGACACGGGCTTCAGGAGCGAGAGTTGGAAAACTACCTACAGGCACAGTGTTCATTGCTACTTGGTGTCAGGCCCACTAGAACAAGGGTCCCCAACCCCCCGGCTGTGGACCGGTAGACGGCTTGTTGGAACCGGGCCATGCAGCAGAAAGTGAGTGGTGGGCAGGCATTCCCGCCTGAGCTCCGCCTCCCGTCAGATCAGCACTGCATTAGATTCTCACTGCGCATGCACACGAGGGATCCAGGCTCCTCATGACAATCTAATGCCTGATGATCGGGGGTGGACCAGGTTTATCCCTAAACCATTCCCGTCACCCCAGTCTATGGAAAAATTGTCTTCCACAAAACCAGTCCCTGGTGCCGGAAAGGCTGGGGACCACTGCCCTAGAAGGCTAATCCCCTACGTTACACAGTGTACCATGTGGCAAACATGCACATGTACCCCCTGAGTCTAAAATAAATTTTTTTAAAAAAAGAAACTAGGGTTGCCAGGTACTGTATGGGGCATGAAGTTCATTCAGGTTTCAATACACAACAGACAATGTTTTCGTGTAAATATATCCCAGATGTTGCATGGGATATACTTATGCCAAAAGTTATTCGTTGTTTGTCTGAAATTCAAATTGAACAGGTACTCTGTAGTTTCATTTGCTAAATCTTGCAGCCCTGCTGAGAACCCACATAGCTGGGAAGCTCTATCCCAGGCCTCAGTCAGGACTGGACTCAGGGGAGTCAGCTTGGAGGAGCCCAGGGCTAGAACGCCTTGTGTTGAAATGGCCTCAGGAGCCAGGCGCAGTGGCTCACACCTGTATTCCCAGCACTTTGGGAGGCCAAGATGGGCAGATCACCTGAGGTCAGGGGTTCGAGACCAGCCTGGCCAACGTGGTGAAACCCCATCTCTACTAAAAGTACAAAAATTAGCCAGGCATGGTGGCATGTGCCTACAATCCCAGCTACTTAAGAGGCTGAGGCAGAATCGGTGGATACCAGGAGGTTGCAGTGAGCCGAGATCATACCACTGCACTCCAGCATGGGTGACAGAGTGAGACTCCATCTCAAAAAAAAAAAGAAATGGCCTCAGGGAAAGTTTGCCCGCATGAGTGCCTGTGCCCCGCCAGTGTGGGCTGAAGGGGGCCGGCTCTGCCTGCAGAGGACTCTGCTCATTGACCAGACTGAGATGACTGGCAAGTCCTAGGCCCAGTGAACACTAAGGTCCCTCCTGCTCAGGCCAGAGCCCCGCCCCTCCTGTATCCATGCAGCCCTGTGAACCCACCTCAGGTGTGGTCCTCACTGTGGCCACACAGCTCCCAGAGGAGGGCCTTCCCTCCCCCAAGGTCACGGCCCAGTTCCATTGTGTGCCACCTCCCCAGGCCTTAGTGCATGTTACTCGACGGGAGTGGGAATACTCGCCCTTCCCCTTCCCCGGGGCATGCGGCTGCCTGGTGACCTGGGGGCAGCCTGTCAGGGCGCAGGGCACTGACCTGGGAGCTGCCACTCTTAGCCCACCATCCCTGGCTATGTGGGCCACATGTCAGCCACAGCTGGCCACGAGCTGGCTCAGAGTCCTGGGTGGGCTGAGCAGGGCTGGTACACTGGCGCCGACCCGGGCTGCCCCAGCTACGTGTTGGTGGCAGCAGCAGCAGGCTCAGCCCACCTGGCATCTCCCACACAGAGACCTGGAGGATGCCGACCTGCTAATCCAGCTGGAGGCCTTCGAGGAGGCTAAGGCTGAGGACGAGGAGGAGCTGCTGCGAGTCTCTGGTGGGGTCGACATGAGCAGCCACCAGGAGGTCTTTGCCTCCCTGTTCCACAAGGTGGGCTGGGGGCTGGAGGATCGGAGGGCAACCCTCCATTGCAGGCTGTGGCCCTGAGGTCCAGAGGCTGGGCCTGGAACGGTCCTCCCTGCCCTGGTCAGACCCTGCTGTGACCTGGCCATGGCGCCAGCTCTGGGGTGAGACTCCAGGGAGCAGCAAGGGGCCAGGGGTTGGAAAGGGAGCTGGTGCCTAGAGTGGGCAGCCTGGGGGCAAAGCCAGGGCCTCAGGACCCAGAAGGACGGGGCTCCAAAGACCAGGGCGGCCCACAGCCGGCTGTACTGTCCTGGGCCCCAGCTACCCAGTCCCCATCAGGTGGGATTCAGAGGCCTCAGGGCCTGGTGAGGGGCTAAGAGGCTGAATTCCCGTCAAACTCAGGCCCTCCCTTCGTTCCCTGAACCTGGCAGCTCTCATCTGGGGGGCAGTTGTGTCCCCAGGTGGCATCTGGCAACATCTGAAGACATTTTTGGCTGCCATGACTAGGCAGGGGGTACTATTGCATTGAGTAGGTTGAGACCAGGGGTTCTGTTTAACATCCCATAATGCACAGGACAGTCCCACATGTCACCAGTACCACAGTCGCTGAGGCTGTCATCTCTAGGGATCCGTGGGAATAGAGGGGGTGATGGGGCTGGATGCCCTGGCAGATGGGCCAACAGTTCTCAGTCCACCGGGGAGGGGCCGGCTGCTGACCCGCACCCCACACTCGCCCGTCCAGGTGAGCTGCTCCCCGGTGTCCGCCCAGCTCCTGTCAGTGCTGCAGGGCCTCCTGCACCTGGAGCCCAGCCTCCGCTCCAGCCAGCTGCTCTGGGAGGCCCTGGAGAGCCTGGTGAACCGGGCCGTGCTCCTGGCCAGCGATGGTGAGGGGGTGGGGCAGGGGTATAGGCACAGCCTGGTGGGCAGACACTGGGGTCTTAGACCACGGGGGAGGGGGCCTGTCCTTGGCCCCAACCCATCCTCTGCCTAGCGGAGGTGGCCACTTTTTCCTGCCTCCTCCTCAAGCCCCCATCCCTCCCTCCCCTGCTCCCTTCTCCCTTGACCCTGGACATCCCCTACTGCAGCCCAGGAATGCACCCTGGAGGAAGTGGTTGAGCGGCTTCTGTCTGTCAAGGGGCGACCCAGACCGAGCCCCCTGGTCAAGGCCCATAAAAGCGTCCAGGCCAACCTAGGCCAGAACCAGAGGGGCAGCTCCCCGCAAAACACTACAACCCCCAAGCCCAGCGTGGAGGGCCAGCAGCCAGCAGCAGCTGCTGCCTGTGAGCCCGTAGACCACACCCAGAGTGACAGCGTCCTGAAAGTTTCGAAGCCGAGAACCCTGGAGCAGCAGGCGTCCCCTCTTCCCCCATCCACCCCCCTGCTCCCTGGTTCCAGTGCTGAGCCCCCTCCCCCTCCTCCCCCACCCCCACCTCCCCCCCTGCCACACCTGGGGGCCACACCTCCTCTATCACCACCCCTGACAAGCTCCTGTGAGTTCCCGCCCCCACCACCTCCACCACTCCCGGGCATGGGATGCCCACCCCCACCCCCACCCCTGCTGCCTGGTATGGGCTGGGGCCCTCCTCCACCCCCACCTCCACTGCTGCCCTGCACCTGCCGCCCCCCTGTGGCGGGAGGCGTGGAGGAGGTCATCGTGTCCCAGGTGGACCACAGCTTGGGCTCCGCCTGGGTCCCCAGACATCGGCGGGTGAACCCACCCACACTGCGCATGAAGAAACTGAACTGGCAGAAGCTGCCATCCAACGTGGCACGTGGTGAGGGTCCCCAGACCCCCAAGAGAAGCTTCCCCTAGGACAGGGGCTGGTCTCTGCTGGGGAGAGGGGCAGGTGGCACATGGAACTTGTGTGCGTGTCCTGCCCGTGCGTGGCCAGGGCAGCCTGGCCCTTGCTCTGGGCTCGGCGCCTGTGGTTGAGGTGGGGATGGGGGAGGAGCAGGGCGAGGGCTACCTCTGAGGACCCCCTTCCACTTGCTCCCGTGAGCCAGTGCCTCTGGGGTGCCATGGTGCCCTGGGGCCCAGCTACAGGTCCTCAGGTAGGGAGGTAGGGTGCCTGCTGTATGCTGGACCTGCCGGGCCCCAGGCAGGTCATCCTTCAGACCCTCTGGGAGGCTCCAATCCCTGCCTGCTAGAGCACCAGGCTGCAAGAGCCTCACTGGCCATGTGCCCACCCAACAGAGCACAACTCTATGTGGGCGTCCCTGAGCAGCCCCGATGCCGAGACTGTGGAGCCTGACTTCTCCAGCATCGAGCAGCTCTTCTCCTTCCCTGCGGCCAAGCCCAAGGAGCCCACCACAGCAGCCGCCCCGGCCAGGAAGGAGCCCAAGGAGGTGGGGACGGGGAGGGGCTCAGACCGGGGCCACCTGCCAGGTCACCCTCCGGTGCCAGCCTGTTGGGTGGGGGGTTTTCCAGATCACTTTCCTTGATGCCAAGAAGAGCCTGAACCTCAACATCTTCCTGAAGCAATTTAAGTGGTGAGTGACAGAGGTGGCCCCCATCCCAGGCCACGGAGCCTCACCTCCACCTGAGCCTCCCGACTTGGGCCCAGCAGTGCCCTCTGCAGGCCACCATGGGAAGTGCATACTGCATCCCCTGGGCAGGATAGTGGGCAGGTAATAGCCCCATGCTGCCCCAGCTAGGGGCTGTCCAGCCTCCTGGCGAGAGAGCGCTGGGACCTCCCCACAAGGCCACAGACAAGCAGTGGCTAAACCAGGGCGAGGACCTGGGCCCTGACTCTCAGCCCCCTAGTCCCTTCCTGCTGCGGGTGTCCAGCACTGGCCCGAGGGTGGACTGACCCACCCTACGTCCCCTGAGCAGGGCCCATGGGGGGATAGTGAGGGTAGGAGTCAGTCTGGGTCCCCTTCACCGCATGACCATGGGCAGACAACTCGACCGCCCTGTGTCCCACCTGCCCTGGCCACCCCATGACTGCGTGGGGAGACCCTGCCAGGCGGGGTCCCAAAGAGGCTGGGTGGGGTTGACTCATGGTTCACCCGCCCCTGCCCGGTCCTCTCCCTGCTCCAGCTCCAACGAGGAGGTCGCTGCTATGATCCGGGCCGGCGATACCACCAAGTTCGATGTGGAGGTTCTCAAACAGCTCCTTAAGCTCCTTCCGGAGAAGCACGAGGTGAGAGGATCACCCCCACCCCCTGCCCCCAGTTAGTGCCACCAACCAAGGGAGAGGCTGTCCCCGGGGCACCTCCCAGGAGGGAGACAGAGAAGGGAGGCATCCCAGCCCCACCTCTGCTGTGAACCGTGAGCCACAGGGAGCTGTGATGGGACTGGAGGGGCTGAGCCCAGTGGGCAGTCCGGGAGGGTGGGAAGCTGGTGTGGGGATATCCCACACGCCGTCCTCCTCCTGGCAGATTGAAAACCTGCGGGCATTCACAGAGGAGCGAGCCAAGCTGGCCAACGCCGACCACTTCTACCTCCTCCTGCTGGCCATTCCCTGGTGAGCACAGCCGCCCTCAGACCCCAGGGCCTGGGCCCTAGGTGGGAGGAGAGCAGGAATAGGGAGCAGGGCCCAACCAGGGTGGAGAAGGGGCTGTGCCAATGGCTGCCCCGGGCTCCAGGAGCAGCGTTGCAGCTGTCGGGCTTCTACACATCACTCGAGCCCCGCCCCCAGTCCTTCCCCTAAAAGTGTGAGGCTCGAGGCCTCTGGAGCAACTGGATCCCGCTCTGCGCAGGCCCAGGAGGGTGCCTGTTGGACGGGGCAGGCAGTGGAAACGCCCTCCCTTTGCCCACCACCCAAGCCAGAGCCCTGTGCTGAGTGCCCCTCTGGCAGGGACGGGGGGGAGATTCAGGCCATTGACCCCTGTCTGTACCATCCCCAGCTACCAGCTGCGAATCGAGTGCATGCTGCTGTGTGAGGGCGCGGCCGCCGTGCTGGACATGGTGCGGCCCAAGGCCCAGCTGGTGCTGGCCGCCTGCGAAAGTGAGTGGGGCCAAGTGGGGCACGTGTGCAGGAGGGACAGGCCTCCGAACTAGAGCCGGAGGGCTGCTCGGGGCCCCTGCTAGTGGCAGTATCATAATGGCTGCTAAGAGCACCCAAGGGTGCCAGCCTTCACCACTCCAGAAACCACCCTGCTGCCACCACCTTGGTGCACACACCTGCTGGACGCACAGACACACACATGCCCACCACCACTCGGGCACGTGCACACACACGCACACCGCCACTCTCGGGCACGTGCCCACACATGCACACTGCCACTCTCGGATACGTGCACACACGCGCACACCGCCACTCTCGGATATGTGCACACACATGCACACCGCCACTCTCGGGCACGTGCCCACAAGCACACCGCCACTCTCGGGCACGTGCACACACAGAAGCTCACGAGCACAGTCACACATATGCACACAGGACAGACACACGTACACGCCCCCACACACACACTCTCACATACATGTACAGACACAAGTGCACACACACGGATACCATCTCTGAAAGGGGATCCTTGGAGACCTGCCACAGCCACTGGGCAGGGAGAGGGACAGGTACGGACCAGTTCACATCTGTCAGGCACACTGTAGGTGTCCATTCCCATCGGTGGAGGGTTTGCAGTCCCCAGGCCCTGTCATGTGTCCCTCCCTTATGGTGCTGGGCTGAGCCTGGGGAGGAGCCAGGGAGTGCAGGGGCACTGGCAAGCAGGACCACACCCCACCGCCAGGGCATCTGGGGGCTCCGAACCAAGAGCCCTTCTCCAGCCCTGGCTGCCCCTGCAGGCCTGCTCACCAGCCGCCAGCTGCCCATCTTCTGCCAGCTGATCCTGAGAATTGGGAACTTCCTCAACTACGTAAGTCAGGGGCCGCTCCCCATCCCACCTGGCCTGCCTGGGGCTTGCAAGACTCACTCCCGGGCTCTCCCAGGGCAGCCACACCGGCGATGCTGACGGCTTCAAGATCAGCACGTTGCTGAAGCTCACGGAGACCAAGTCCCAGCAGAACCGTGTGACGCTGCTGCACCACGTGCTGGAGGTGGGCCGAGGCGGCAGGCACCAGCGGGGGCACGATGGCAGGGCTTCAAGTCCCCCCGGACCTGCAGTGTAGAGGTGTAGAGGCCATACCCCCCTGTGCCCACCACTCAGGCGGCTGGTCTCCCTGTCTCAGGACCCCATCTAGAGCCAGCAGCCTCAGTCAGAGCCGTGCCCCCATCCCTCCCAGCACCCCTTCCTTCCTGCAGCACTGGCTCCCCTGAATGAGCCTTGTCCCTCCCCAGGATACCTACCCCTGGTCTGGGGGGACAGTCCCTAGGAAAAGCAGAAACATCACAAAGTCATCGCCAGGCCCAAGGGAAAGATTTGAGGGTCTGGAGTGCCGGGGGTTTTCTGGACCTTAATTGCTAAGGGTTAGAGCTGGGGGGGTGGGAACAGGGGCGTCCCCAGGCGGAGCGTGTGGCCACGGTGGATCTCACTGGACGTGTCCCATTGCAGGAAGCGGAAAAGAGCCATCCGGACCTCCTGCAGCTGCCCCAGGACCTGGAGCAGCCCTCACAAGCGGCAGGGTAGGCAGCGCCTGCCAGCCCACACCCCTCAGCCAGGCGGGGGCCTGACTTCCGTCCCAGCCAGTGAGGTGGCTGCCCGCCAGGACTGAGTCTCACAGTGGCAGCACAGCCCCGGCGCCCTTAGGAGCCCTGCCCAATAGAACGCTTTCCTTCTGGGACAGGACCGTGTCTGCCATGGCCTATCCCCTTCTGACTTCAGCGAGGAAACAGGCCTAGAGGGGGCAAGGGCTGGCCAGGTCAGGGTCACACCAGGGGCAGGTCTAGTACAGCCCCTTCACAAGTTGAACCTTCACCACAGCCGCGAGCAGGCTCGGGCCTCCCTCATCGTATAGATGAGGAAAAAGAGGCCCAGGAAAGCAGTGTCACCTCCTGGGTCACACAACCCAGGCAGGAGGGCAGCCTGGGCCACCGCACTACACAGTCCGGGCCCCTAGCACAGGGTCCTTCCCGGGCTCCACCTGCCCTGGAAGGTTCTCTGGCCCAGGAGCTGCTCAGCCTTGGGGAGAGCTAGGCAAGTAGGACAGGCTGACCATTAGGGTCCCCGCTCAGATGCCCACAGGGGGCTGAGGGCCGGCTGGAACAGGCACTCAACCCCAACACTGCACGTGGGGCCTCAGAGTGCAGCCTGCAGTGTGCACAGTGGGGCACCAGGGTGTGTGCAGGGGAGGGGCTCCCCTGTCCCAGCAAGGCTGACGTCAGCTGTTGCTGTCTCTGCCTGGCCCTCCTCACCTTTCAGGATCAACCTGGAGATCATCCGCTCAGAGGCCAGCTCCAACCTGAAGAAGCTTCTGGAGACTGAGCGGAAAGTGTCTGCCTCGGTGGCCGAGGTCCAGGAGCAGTACACTGAGCGCCTCCAGGCAAGTGGGCACCTGGGCCTGGGGCTGGCAGGAGAGGCTGCCCTGATCAAGCGAGCCGGGCGAGTGGCTGTGCTGTCTCCTGGCTCCAGGGTGGATCCTGGGGACCGAGGTTCCCCAGGTGTGCACAGTCAGGGTACAGGCCCCTGCTCCTTCTCAGAGACCACTGTCCTCAGGGCCTGTCCCTGTGGCCACCACCCTCCTGCAACCCAGGGCCTAACCCTAGGTGGTGCCCACGCAGGGCTCTCACAGGACCATCTCGTGTCCTTACCCTCAGGCCAGCATCTCGGCCTTCCGGGCACTAGATGAGCTGTTTGAGGCCATTGAGCAGAAGCAGCGGGAGCTGGCCGACTACCTGTGTGAGGACGCCCGGCAGCTGTCCCTGGAGGACACGTTCGGCACCATGAAGGCCTTCCGGGACCTCTTCCTCCGCGCCCTGAAGGTGGGGGCAGCCTGGCAGGGCACAGGCTGTCCGGCTAGAGTGGGGTCCTGAGGCCTCTGACCTTCCTCCAGCAGGAAGGGCAGAGGCACCCTTCGTCGGGTGGACACAGCCATGTGGGCCTTGCGCTGCTGAGGCTCAGGGAGGGTGACGCCCAGGCCCACGGAGCCCCTGAGGGGTGCCACGCTGGGGTGACGGGGCCATATCTGCCAGTGCAGGAGAACAAGGACCGGAAGGAGCAGGCAGCGAAGGCAGAGAGGAGGAAGCAGCAGCTGGCGGAGGAGGAGGCGCGGCGGCCTCGGGGAGAGGACGGGAAGCCTGGTGAGGCTGGGCCGGCCGGCTGGGCGGGGACGGGGCAGCTCCGGGATCCTTGCCTGTGCTCCAGCCTCCCCACGACCCCCAGCCCTCTAGGTGGGCTCCGGGGTCCCCGTGCGGCTCTCTGAGTGTCCCACACTCCTCAGTCAGGAAGGGGCCCGGGAAGCAGGAGGAGGTGTGTGTCATCGACGCCCTCCTGGCCGACATCAGGAAGGGCTTCCAGCTGCGGAAGACGGCCCGGGGCCGCGGGGACACCGACGGGGGCGGCAAGGTGGCCTCCATGGACCCCCCAAGAGCCACAGAGCCCGGTAAGACCCTCTCCCACGGCCTCCTCATGGTCCCCTTGCCACTGTCCCTACCCTGTGCCTCCAGGAAGCCCTCCTGACTTCACTGGAAAGCCCTCTCATCTCCCTGGACCGCCCTGGAGGCCCCTAAGACTAGGGACAGCCGAGGGGGCAGGTGGTGGCCGCTCAGCTCTCATCCCTCATCCCTCCCTCCACTCACTCCAACTCCTCCACCGTAACAACAGGCCCTGCCCCGAGTGCTGAAGCAGTGGCCCAGCCTGCTGGGCTCCTAACACATGAGGCCAGGCCCACTGACAGATGCCCCTGGGCTGAGGGTGCTAGAGGTGGCAGGAAAGGCAGGCGGCAAGGCCCTGGTGGGAGGACCCCATTCCTGGGGTGACTGCCTCAGGGTGCTGGGGATGGTGTGGCCTAGTGTCGCCCGCCCTGCCACAGTGTAGACCGACCAAGGACGCTGAGGCCAGGTCCTGCTCTGAGACATCAGAGGAGGCTTCCTGGGGAGGAGGCTTTGCAGGGCATTCAGGTAGACAGCGGGATGGAGGAGGCTGCGCTTGGGCTGGCTCGGGGGCAGGGTGCCTGCCCTTCACTGGCATGTCCCTCCATCCAGTGACCACCAGTAACTCTGCAGGAGACCCCGTGGGCGGCACACACTGTCCCGCCTCCAAGCCCAACCTTGATGCTACAATGGCCAGCGAGTCCCGGGGCTGGGACCTTGTAGACGCCGTGACCCCCTGCCCTCAGCCCACGCTGGAGCAGTCGGAGGAGGGTGGTCCCCCGCCCCTGGAGAGGCGTTCTTCCTGGTATGAGGATGCCAGCGACGTCCTAACCACCGAGGATGCCCAGTGCCCCCAACCCTTGGAGGGGGCCTGGCCAGTGACTCTGGGAGATGCTCAGGCCCTGAAGCCCCTCAAGTTTTCCAGCAACAAGCCCCCTGCAGCTGGAAGTTCAAGCCAAGATGCCAAGGATCCCACGTCCTTGCTGGGCGTCCTGCAGGCCGAGGCCGACAGCACAAGCGAGGGGCTGGAGGACGCAGTCCACAGCCGTGGTGCCAGACCCCCTGCGGCAGGCCCGGGTGAGGATGGGGACGAGGACGAGGAGGATACAGCCCCAGAGTCCACGCTGGACACATCCCTGGACAAGTCCTTCTCCGAGGATGCAGTGACCGACTCCTCGGGGTCGGGCACACTCCCCAGGGCCCGGGGCCGGGCCTCAAAGGGGACTGGCAAGCGACGGAAGAAGCGTCCCTCCAGGAGCCAGGAAGGTAAGTCAGGGAGGGGCCCTGGGTACCGTCCCATGCTAGGGCGCTGGCACCCAGCCGGTCCCTCCCCTTCCCCGCTGGGCACTGCAAGTTCCAGCAGCACCCAGGACAGGTGACTTGGGCGCGGCGCGGGAGAGGAGGCAGCAGCGCATCCACCGGGGGTGGCTTTCTGGGCTGCCGTGGCCCACGCAACTGTTTCTCCAACCCGCTAATTCCCACTTTCACGCCACCTCCGTTAGGGAGTAAGGGGCGGACACTGGGCACCAGGTCGCAGGCTAGTGGTTGCCATGCAGCTCAGTGGCCAGAGAACCGGGCAGCCCTCCGAGGGTGTTGGCATGGCTGTCCCGGGCCCCCCAGCCCCACCCGCTCTGAGTCAGGGTTGCTCCTGTGTGATAAGCCGTTGAGTGCATTTCTTTTATTTGAAAGCAGAGGTTCCCCCTGATTCTGATGATAATAAAACAAAGAAACTGTGTGTGATCCAGTAAGGTATGTACGCAGCCGGTGCTCCGTGGGGGCTAACAGCAGCTAAAGGGCAGCGGGGACAGAGCTTGCTGCCCACACCCCTCCGGGACACTAACCTGGCTTCTCTCCAGCCCGCGTGGTGCATCAGTGTGGCCTCGCCTCTCCTGCAGCCCTGGTGGTGGGCTCCTCCCCTTTGTCCCCTCCCTCTCCGCAGGTTACCTGCTCACCTGGTGCCTTCCGCAGGCAAGACACAACCTCGGCGCTGGCTCCGGGCATGCAGGCCTCGGGAGGGCAGGTGGCAGGGCTAGCCGGGCTCCCTTAGTGAGCAGGATCCGGGGCGTGGGCGGGACCTCCTGGCTGGCAGGACAGGCTGAGGTTGCTCCTGTCTGGTGTCCTGGCCCTAACTGCAGTTCCAGGAACCCTGTGGCTTTCCTGCTCTGTCTGTCAGTGGAGGGATATCTTCACTCTGAGTGTGTCAGTGGAGTGGGGCCTCCTGGGCATGTCCCCAGGAAGTCTGTGAGGAGACAGGGACAGTCCCAAGGGCAGATGCTGCCAGGGACAAGCACACCGCAGCCCCCCTCCTGTTGGACAGTATCCTTCTACCCCGAGGCCATGGGTGGGTCTGTGGAGTTGCAGATTACCCCCAGCACACAGCGTCTTCTGGGGGGCCCCCAGCCAAGGGTCAGTCAGCCAGGTCCGTCCACAGGGCTGGAGAGGCTGATGCATCCAGCTACACAGACCAGCCTGCGCTGGGTGGAGGAGGAGCTAGAGCAGAGAACCAGAAGGTCCAGCCTGGCCGCTCGTGAGCTCTGTGAGCCCAGGTGGTGGCGTCTTCCAGCACCTCCAGCCTTGCTCAGAGCGAGCCCAGTGTCCGTGCATCGCAGATATGCTGACCGCTGGGCCTGGGGCTTAGGCTTAAGACATGTGAGGTCTGCTGGTGCCCGTCAGAGGCAAGAGCGGTCGTGAGCCCAGAGAAGTTTCTCCAGACAGTTTGTCCTCACTGTGGGGGCACAGCCTTCACCCTGGGGTCCAGCTTTTGCTTCCAGGGTCATCTTCCGAGTGTGGCTCTGGTGTGAAGCACCCACATGTATTTTTTAGAAAGGTGCTGGCATCTCCCTTAGAGGCTGGAACTTGGACTTGCTGTCCCTGAGTGTGAGGAACAGTGGAGCATGCAGGCTTGGGGCGGGCGGCCAAGTCTGACAGTGGTCCAGTGAAAGATGGACATGCCCAGTGCCAGTTCCACGCTCCACCTGGTTCCCTCCTAAACCTTCTGCACGTGCTTAGCCTCCACCCACCCCAGCTCCTGCCACACAGGCGGCTGAGGGCAGGAGGAAGGAATCCTCCTCTTCTCTCCTCAACTTTTTATTTTTTATTTATTTTTATTTATTTATTTTTTCAAGACAGTCTCATTCTGTTGCCCAGACTGGAGTGTAGTGATGTGATCTCGGCTCACTGCACCCTGCACCTTCCAGGTTCAAGTGATTCTCCTGCCTCAGCCCCCTGAGTAACTGGGACCACAGGCACGCGCCACCACGGCTGGCTAATTTTTTATATTTTTAGCAGAGACGGGGTTTCAGCATGTTGGCCAGACTGGTCTCAAACTCCTGACATCAGGTGATCCACCTGCCTCGGCCTCCCAAAGTGCTGGGATTACAGGCGTGAGCCACCATGTCTAGCCCCCAACTTTTTATTTAGAAAATCTTCAGCACCACAGGAAATTGCATAGAGATCAGAATAAACAATACCTTCTCCCCGAAATTACAACCATTTGCCAAAAATACCAAAATTGTGACCATTTTGCTACATTGCCCCCCTCCAACTGAGCCATTGGAGAGTTTCTTATAAACATCATGGCACTGGACCCCTAAACTCGCCCATAGACACCTGAGAGCATAGCTGTCTTCCCCAGTCCCCCGCAGGCAGGGCGTGATGCAGGGGCGCCTCCTGTCCACGTGCTTCTAACACTTGGTGCCAGTGCGGATGTGCCACTTGTCCCAATAATTCTTTTAATAGCTGTTGCTTTGTTGTTTTCGCAAACAAGATTGTATCCAGAATCACACACTGTGTTTGGTTGTCATATAGCTTCAGTCTCTTGTTCGAGAACATTCCTGCCCCTTTTTGTCTTGTATGACATTGACGTTCTGGAAGACACCTTCACTTTGGGTTTGCCTGATTGCTCCCCCCAAGTAGGTCCAGGTTGAGTTTTGGGGCAGGAGTTCTACCCCAAGGGACGCCATGTCCTCCCCAGCTGGGTGGGGATGTTCGTGGCAGCAGCACTGACCACGGCTACGGGGGTGGTCTCTGAACCTCCACTGCACGAACACCATGCTCTCTAGTTAATAAGCACCTGTGGTGACGTGTGGAACAAATGGCTGCAGCGCGGTTCTGTGTTTGCTGCCCCTCCTCCGAGTGTTCCCTTCTCCCCTCCCTTTTTCCATCACGTGAGTTTTGAATGTGCAGTAATCCATCACTGCCACTGTCGTGCATTTGATGGGGACCAGCGGGGGCCCTTGACCCACAGCCCCTGAGCGCTTCCCATCTTTGTCACAAGCCTCTGTTCCCAGCTCACCCCAGACTTGCTGATCCCCCCCCATCCCTGCCCAGGCCTTGGTCTTGGCCATTTCTCTGGGTTCCCTGAGTGGGGAATGGTGCTGAGATCCCCCTCTGAGTGATCATTTTGGGCAGTTTTTGTTTTCTTCCTCTGTCTCTTCAGAGTAGTGGTTCTCAAACCCCGCCTGGGCTGTCCCACTGGGGAGCTGGGACACCACCTGGCACTGTGGTGGCAATGGGGGTAGCACTCAGACAAGGGCCACCGAGGGCCCCTGGACCAGAGAGCGAAGAGGGTGTTGGGGGCAGGAGGCCTGTGGGATCATCTCTGGGGCCATCTGGGTGGCAGGAGCTGTTGGGCCAGGGCTGAGCTCCCTCAGCAGCCCGCTGGAGAAAGGGCTGCTGGGGTCCTCATGTGGGGCTTGGGGCCCGATGTGGAAGCGATGGAGGGCTGCAGGTGGTGGCAGTGGGGATTAATGAGTAACGACAGAGTGCAGCCTGGGTCTGAGACATGGGGTGGGAGACAGGCCACAGAGACTCCCCATCTCAGCAGAGAGGACACAGGCTCAGGCTGCCACACCTTGCCAAAACCCAGCCTGGCCAGGCCATCCCGGCATCTTCCACCTAGATAAGTTGTGCTGCTCCAGAGAAAGAGCCTGGGGTCAGAGTGGACCTGAGATGCCTGGCACAACCCGCTGGACAGTGTTGATGAGGGGGTTCAGGGACCTGGGGACCCAGAAGCGGGCACCTGGTATTGTACCCAGCAAAGCTGCTCCTAATAATGTCATTTCTTCTCTCTCCTTACAGGCCTCAGGCCCAGGCCCAAGGCCAAGTGAGAGAGCCCAGGCCACAGGACATGCTGCCATTCTGCCAAGAGAGGCTCTTCTGGGGGCCAGGCTGGGACTGGGCCCCGGAAACCAAAAGTCCGTGCCTTACCCAGCTGGGGCCCTCCCGGAGCCTTCTTTGGGTGTTGTGGCTGGGACCCCAACAGGCACCAGTACCCTGCCAGGCCTAGTGCCCTCCTGGACTGCCTGCACGCGCCAGCCTCCTACCTGCTTCCTAAAGGCGACCCTGGCCCACACCCGCATGCACCCGGTGCAGCCTGCCAAGGGCCAGTCGGGGGGGCTGTGTCCTGCCAGTGTCCACCACAGCTCTGCCTGCCCTTCAGCCCAGCAGGGTTTAATCAAAACTCAATGCTTTGCGAGTCTTTACTGCTCGGAGGTGGCTGAGTTGGGGGCCCTGGGCAGGGGTAGGCTGGCAGGCAGTGCCATGGCAGGCCAGGGTCCCCTCCCGTGGGGTCTGGCCCCCATCCCAGCATGTCCAGCCCCTGAAGTTGGAGTGGGGAGCGGTCTGCATTTGCTGCCACTGCCAGGCCTCTGCCCTGCAGCTAAAACTTGGCCATCACATCAACAGAAAACCCCTCCCAGTGCCAGCTGCCCAGGATGGGCGGGCCCTGGGGACAATACAGTCCACCTGAGGGGCTGCAGGGTGACACCCAGCAGCCTCTGCCCCCTCACTGCCCACCCAGCGAGGGCAGCCTACCCGAGCCTGCCGCCTGCCAGGTGTGTGCCCTGAGGCTGGCAGCTGGACGTGTGGCCAATAAAAAGCAGACCTAGCCCGGTGTGTGACTGTTGCGTTCAGAGGCTGCGGGAGTGGGTGGATGGGGGCTCCCACAAATGTGGTGAGCGCCGGACAGGCCCCGTGTGAACATTCACTGTTGAGGGGCCCCCAGTTCCCCAGGCCCCATGTGAACACTCACTGTTGAAGGGCCCCCAGTTCCCCAGGCCCCGTGTAAGCATTCACTGTTGAGGGGCCCCCAGTCCCCCAGGTCAGGGGCTGTCCCTGAAGCCCTCAGGAAGTAGTGAGAAACGTCTAGAAGAGGGCAGACCCCGTGATGAACAGCACCCAACAGTGGTGAGATGGGTGCAGCTCTACAGGGGCGTAATTTACAAACCACCAGACTTGCTGGTTATGTGTGTGCTGTGGTGGTATTTGCTTTCCAGCAGATCAAGGTTGTGCAATGATGCACTTTGAGAATCTCTCCATCACCCCAAGAAGTCCTCTGGCACCCATCAGTCTGACCCCTTGCCTGCGCTCCTCCCCAGCCCTGGCAGTCACTCACCTGCGCTCGTCATGCATGTCCCCTGGCTTCCTTCGACTGTTTTCAGGCTCCATCCTCACTGCAGGCTGTATGAGGACGTCATTGCATTTCATGGCTGAAGCACATTCCATTGCATGCATGGACCACATTTTGTTTGCTTTTCTGTCCATGGGCATCTGGGTTGCTTCCAGCTTGGGGCTTCTGCGAATCCTGCTGCTGTGAACACTTGCATAGTCCTCGTGTGGATGCGAGTTTTCATTTCTCTGGGGTAGTTTCCTAGTGGAGGAACAACTGGGCAACATGCTAAGTTTATGTTTAACTTTTTAAGAAACTGCCAAACTGTTTCCCAAAGCAGCTGCACCATTTTTCATTCCCATCTGTGCTATTGTTTTTAAGTTAAATAGCTCAACGCCTCCCCCTCCCCACCCCTCACAATCTGCCAGTAAAACTGGACTATGGAGTATTGGGCGGGGTCACCTACAGGGTGACCTGCAGCAACTGAGGCCATCGCCCCGCCTGCCTGGAGAGGTGGGACTGGGGACCCTGTGACGGGAGGAGGAGCTGCCTCTCCAGAGTCTGAGTTTTTCTTTTTCCTCTCTGCTCCGTGAGAAGTCAGTTTAGTGGGCTACAGCCAGCAAAGGAACCAAAACGGACAGGAGCTCTGGGTGTGCGTTGCATGGTGAGGCTCCGTGGCTGCAGGTGTGTATGCAGGCAGCTGTGGGTGTCTGTGTGTCCTGGGCTACCGTGTACGATGTTCCCACAGGGAGGTGTGGCCCCCAAAGAGTGAACCCACAGGTGGACACGCCCATGCACCCTCGTTCCTGCCCAAGGTCACACGTCGAGACAGCAGGGCCCAGATGGATGGCCCCAAGCTCAGTGGCTCCTGTGCTGCCCACCACCTGGGGACAGGCCCACTGTGGGGATTGGGGGGTGGGGGTGTTATAATTCGGGCTGGGCTGTGTGACTGGCAGGGGCCCCAGCTGTTGTGCCTGGGCAGGGCTGTTTTTAGAAAAGCCCCATCTCCCTGCCCCCACCCGGGCCGGTGGCTATTTATAGTCCAGGCCTGGAGAAGTCAGTGAGTCACTAGCGTTCGCCTCTGCAGGGTCAGTCCAAGCCCCCTTAGTGAGGTGGTCTAGCATGTCCCCCAGTCCCCCAAGCCTCTGTCTGACATCTGCTAGCCCAGAGCCCCAAGTGTCCCCAGGAAGGGCTCAGAGCTGGTGGCCCCTGCCAGGCCTTGGGAGCACCCCCTTGTCTGATGGGACTTTGTGGTTCCTGGTGGGCATTTAAAACTGTCAGTTTCTCTCATCTGGAAACAAACCTCCCGTGACCCTCTTGGTTTCTCCTGCTGCAGTCTGCCTCTTCCCTACCTGCACAGCTATCTGCTGTGCCCCAAATTCCCTCCTTGACACGCCCAGACCCACTGTCCCACCCTTGGGTGCAGCCCCTTCTCAGAAGGCTCCAGGTTCTGCCAAACCTCGGAGCCCTTCAGCCCTGCTCCAGCCCCTTCCCAAGCTGGGGGCGGTAGTCTGCTTAGTGACACCAGCTGTCACCCCCAGGGTGGCACTGTCACCGCCAGGGTGGCACTGGGAAGTTCATGCATGAAGATTCTGCCTTTCCACCGAGGCCGCACTGACTGCTTGGAACCCACACAGTGGCATTTTCCCCGCGAGGATGCTGAGGGAGAGGAAGTATCAGTGTGCCCAGTGGAAGAAGAGGGGACTGGGGACATGGGTGCAGGGGGTGGGAGGCCAGGTTTTGAACAGCCCCTCTCCCCCAGGCTGGGGCAGGGTTCGGCGCCCAGAGAGGAGGGGTGGGGAGACTGAAGGCAAGGGTGGGCAGTGGTGTCCTTGGCTGCACCTGAATCACTAACTCATTGTGAGCGACCTTTGCTGTGACAGGCCCAAGCTCCACTCCTTCCTCATAGGGAGTGTCTCCATGGACCCCCTGTCACTAGCCTTGGAATTGCCCTGAGCCCAAGGAGCCTCGTGGCTCTAGGCTCTTTGGCAACTGAGAGCCCTCAGGGAGGGAACCAAGGGCCCCGCCTCCCTGCTCCGAAGCAAGAGCCTGATTCTCCTTTCTTCCCCCGGGGGCCCCAGGACCCTTCTCCTGGCCACCAGGGCTGGCTTCCTCCAAGCCTCATCCACTTGGGAGGGTGGGGCGGGATAGGCGAGACAGGACAACCAGCCGGGAACACGGGAGCCTCGCAGACCATCGCCTCCCTCTGTGGCCTGGTCCCTCCACAGGCTGGGACGGGAAGGTCTGGGGTGGGGCCTCTTGGAAACCTGGGCCCCACGTTGGTGTGCATCCCTGGGGGTTGCTCCCATGCCAGCCAGGTGACGCTGACAGCATGGGTCCCTTTACCCCAGACTTGGGTGCTGAGGGCCGGAGCTCCATGCTGGAGCCCGCCTGCTCGCTACAGCCAGGCCCGAGCCACAGCGCTCCCGGGCGGGATGCGGGGCCCCTGCCGTGGGGCCGAGGTGCGGGCAGTTGCTGGGACACACGCGCTGCGCGGCTCTTCGCGGCCGCCAGAGGGCGCGCGCGCGCGCGCCCAGGGGACTCGGGGTTCCGCGCGGGGCAGGTGCGCTCCCCGAGAGTGCGGACCCTCCAGGTGGGGCGCAGAACGCAGATCCCCTTTTGCAAACCGCACTCCTTCCCTGGAGGGGACGACCACCTCCGCAGTTGCTGGAACCCCGAAGTCCTGGGCCCGGCAGGGGCCTGGCGGGGTGAGGTCGCGGTGCACAAGCCCTGGTCCCCGACGGCCTAGCGAGAAACTGCCTCCGTTGGCAAAGTCGTGGGGCGCCCCAGGCCCTCTGCCTGCCTGGCCGTCGGTCTACGCGCCCCCTCACCTCTAAAGTGCTCGAGACTCAACTGGGCTTCCCGGGCGGCTGCGAAGGGGCGGGGATTTGGCGGCCGGAGGTCAACGGGGCGTCACTGCGCCCGCCCTGGCCCGCCCCCGGCCCGCCCCCTGCCCGGGCCCCGCTCCATTTAATGGCGCGGACGCCGGCGGCGGCGGGCTCCGGGCCGGGCCAGCGCAGCGGAAGAGCCGAGCCAGCATGTCCGGGACCCGAGCCTCCAACGACCGGCCCCCCGGCGCGGGCGGCGTCAAGCGGGGGCGGCTGCAGCAGGAGGCGGCGGCGACCGGCTCCCGCGTGACGGTGGTGCTGGGCGCGCAGTGGGGGGACGAGGGCAAAGGCAAGGTGGTGGACCTGCTGGCCACGGACGCCGACATCATCAGCCGCTGCCAGGTGCGGGCTGGGGCGCCGGGTCCCTCCCCCACCGCCCAGCGAGCCCCCCTCCCCGGACCCAGACGGCCCCTGTCCTCCCATGCCCTGGCCGGTCACTCACCCGCTTGGATGCCTTCCCTCCGGGAGCACCTTTCCCAGGGCCACCCCACCCATGCACGCACACGCACCACTCACACAACCCCCGACCCACACACACCGCCTTCCCCTCCACCCACCCCTCCTCCACCATCTGGGCAGCGGGCCAGGGCACAGCTATAAATACAAGTCGCTGAGTTGGGGACACCCGATCCTCAGGGGGTGGCGCATGCCATCGGCGTGACGCTGGACCTTCCATGGGGGAACCGGAGGACCCAGCCCCAGGGTGGTTTGAGGACCCTCGAGACACCCCCCTTCCTCATTTGCAGTGATCACCTGGGGCCTGTCTGGGTCTGGGACAGGGCTTAGCTGGCTCCCCGCATGGTCGGCAGGTGGTGGAGGGGGTGAAAGCTGCCTGCTGGGTGGGGTTGACCCCGGTGAGTCAGCCAAGGAGAGGCAGAGGTGGAAGGGGGCCAGGCCGTCCTGGGGGGCAGCTGGGGCCGGGCCTGAGGGAGGGTGCTTGGGATGATCCTAGCCAGACATGGGAGAAGGAGGGCCACAGACTTCTGGCCAGGGTGACCTGGTGGCTGGCAGTGCCACCGAGGCCAGACCCGCTTTGTCCCCCAGGGCCGAGGGCGGGGCCTCTGACAGCCCGCGGCTGCTCTCAGCGCCCCCGTCTGTTCTGACTGAGCTGGACACTGGGCACTCTCTCGGCTGCCACCCTGGAGCTGCCTGCCCCATGCCAGGGCAGCCAAGTCTGCTGCCCATGGGCTGACTTACAGCTCCAGGCACAAAGGGGTCTACTTTGGGACGCATGCGTCTGGGGTTTGGAGTCCGCCTGGGGCTGTTGCCAATAATGGAACAAGGGCCCCTGCACAGCCCCTTCTCCGGGTTCTGTGGCCTCCTTCCTGAGCTCCGGAGAGGAGGGCTGGGGCTCGCGACGATCCCTGTCAGAGAAGGGAGTCAGCCCAGCACCCTGCGTGGCTCAGGGGTGTCTGAGCCCCTCCTGCCGGAAGGGACTGTGGCTTCCTAGAAAGTTCTTCCTGGAACGGTGGGGGACCTCCCCGACTCGCTCTCCGTCCTAAGCAGCAGGCAAGCTCGTCTCTCGCTCCGGAGATCCCCCAGGTCCTAGAGGTAGTCCGCCTCCCATGCTCCCTCCACGCTGCCTCTGCCCGCCACCTCGTCCCCGGCCGCCAGGGGGCGTGTCCAGCGCTCTACCGCTCTTCACCCTCCCGGGCGCCCTCAGCGTGGGGCAGCCGCGGCTCCCCACCCTCCTCAGACCTCTGCTCCCGTGAGGCCCAGGCCCCTCCCTATGAGCTGCCGGCTCTGGTGGACGCCGTGCACTTCTGCAGGGCGGGCTGGGGCCGCCACAGCTGCTCTACAAGCGTTCAGCCCGCTCCACACAGCTGTGGAGGTGGTTCTGGATCCGGGCCCTCCCTGCTGCGCCCCCGCCCCGTCCCCCCACAGCCCTGCTCACTCGCAGCTGCAGACAGGAGCACGGAGGGCGCAGCAGGCTGGAGCCCATCCCGCACTCGGGCCACCAGGCCGCCCCCGCCAGGCCACCCCACAGCCTGAGAGAGCGCCTGGCTCTCCAAGCCGGTGGGAATAAAAGAGGTTTGTCCCTGGAGCCCACAGCTGTCCCCCTCCAGCCTCCTCAAAAGCCAGTGAGGCAGGAGCATCCTGAAGAGCTCCTTCACAGGGGAACGGAGGCTCAAGTGCGGAGGAATGAGAGTCACTGCCATGCTTGGAGCCCCCACGGGTGCCACGTGCCCACCATGATAGCCAAGGGCCTGGCCCTTTGTCCCCACCCGTGAGTGCGGGACCGAGCTGGATCTCAGCGGGGTGCTGCTCTGCAAAGGGAAGGTCAGGGACCTGTCTTCTTTGGGGACCCAGCCCCAGGCTCTCTGCGAATGCTCAGTGATCCCCGACCTCACAGTGCCATCTCTCCTCTTAGCGGTGGGGGCTTTCCCCTGCCACCAGGCTCCCAGCATCTCCCCTGTTCTTATGCATACCATGTCTGACCACCCCATGTCGTCAGAGGCTGGCAGAGTGAGGATCTGGCTGGATCTCCCCAGGGAAGACTGCCTCTTTTCTTACTTGGAGTGTGGATGCCTGAAGCCAGATGAAGGTACCCGACATGGGGGTTTCCAGGCGCACGGAGGCCAAACCTTGCCCTCTCCCTCGAGGGGCTGAGCAGAGGACAGAGCAAGGGCAGAGTGGTCCAGGTGGTAAAAGTGCATGCAGTAGGCAGAGCGGGCTGGGCCGCATCTGGGAGACAGGCTGGCTGCCAGGAGGGCTGAAGCTACCAGCCCTGGCAACCAGCCTGCTCTGCTCCCCAGTCCCCGAAGGGTCGCCTGGGCCTGGGGCCACCCTGAGTGTTGGCTATGCTCCTTCCCTGGCTGCCCAAGCCTCTGCACACCCAGGCTCTGGCTCTGCCCTCTGCTGACGCCTGCACCAGCAGAGCCATCACTTCGAGCCCAGCTCCCAAACCCCCTGGTGGTTCCTGGCACTTGGCAAGGGTCGCTGCTTTGCTCACCCTGGACATGGACTTTCCACCCTGCCCAGAGGTGATCTGGGGCTGCCCAAAGCCCTGCACGGCTCGCCTCATTCTTTTCCCATCCTGGTCGTTTGGGGCCTGTGGTCAGAGTGCACCTGGGGGCCCCTGAGAGTGTCCTCGCCTCCCACAGTCTCTCGCCTTGAGTCCACCTTTAGGACCTGTTTCCTGGACAGCCTCCCTTCTCCAGGCTGAGCCTATATTGTGCATCCCCCACCTCGTGCCCACACCCCCACCTTCACACCTGGGCCGTCCTTCCTCCACTCCAGGGTGGCTCTGTTAGGCTGCACTATGCCCCCTGGCCCCACTGTGCCATCTTCCTCCTTGCCTGCTACCCTGGCTGCTCCCGAGCCTCTCTCCCCTCCAGGCTGAGTCTCCTCTGAGCCAGGTCTGCCCTCCCTGCTCTGCGGCCACATCACGTCGCCTGCCTCTCTGTGCTGGGGTCCTGTGTTCCCTCTCTCCTCTCTGGGCATGGACACCCCATCCTACTTCCGAGGGGTCCCCAGGCACCTCCGCCTGTGCTTCCTCCCTCATGTCCATGGCGTTTCCGTCCCCTGTGTGCCCCGCCTGCACGTCCGGCTCGTACCCCTCAGATGGACAGCTGAGGACAGGCACAGCTGGGCCTCCCCTACCCCCGTTCCCAGGCTGGCAGTGCCTGGCCTTTACCCCCTAGTTCCTCCTTCCATCTCCAAGCTACTTCCTCTGGATAACTGGGCTCCCTGCCCAGGACCACAAGGCTCTGGTGAGCCCTGGCCTGGTTTAGAATCCCCGTCCTTCTGCCGCAGTGCAGACCTCAGGGCACTGGGCTGTTTATGTCTGGCCATGCCCAATACATGGGCTGAAGGGGCCTGCCCTGGGTCTCCATAGTGCACTCCCAGCCTCCCATGCCCTCCAGCTCTAGCTGGAGCCCGTGTCCAGCTGGCGGACAGGGGCGGAAAGCTGTGGCCATGTATGCAGGGGTGTGAGACCACAGGCTGTTCCCACGGTGTCTTCTGTGGTGTGGCAGCGCCAGGTGGGAGCTGGCATCCTGTGCATTGAGGGCCCCTGTGCTGTGGCTGTCGTGGCTCTGGGCGCTGTCTCCAAGGGGCCATCAGGTAACGCTTTGCCTCAGGCTCCAGGGTGCACCAGAGACCTTCTGGGAGTCGGAGGGGCAGCTGCCTTGGCCGGGGAGTGCCTGGGGCTGCTTCTAGAAAGGGGTCTTCCCCTACCCCACCTCTGCACTGGTGATGGTGCTGGTCACTGGGCCATGGCTCCAGGACAGAGGGTCCCTGCAGTTAAACACAGCCCTGCCTCATTGCGGGAACACCAGTCCCAGGCAGCCGAGACCTGCATTTCTGTCCCAGGCCTGTCCCAGGTTCTGTCGGTTCTGTCCCAGGCCTCACCCCACTACCAAAAGGGGCAGAGAACAATTCCTTTGGGCTGAAGAAATGAGTGAACGGTGGGAGCCTGCAAGCACAGCCCAGAAGGGAGTGAAACAGTGTAAGTGGCTGAACCCACCGCACCACACTGGTAGTCACAGGTGCGTGCACACTGGGCGCCAGGGCCCCTTGCTCTGTGCCGGGCATAGTTGTCATACAAACTGCCATTGGGTGCCAGTGCCAAGAGGTTGGGCCCCAGGAGCCTCACAGCCTCTGAGAAGCACCGTCGGCCTCCCCCGGCGCTCGCCACTCTGCTCGCTTCACTGTCTGGCGTGAGCTCGCTGACAGCCAGGCCCTGGGCCAGGGCTGGCGATGGACACAGAGGCAGGAGAGCTGGTTGCTCCCATTCCAGGGGCAGAGGTGCAAACAGCCACTCCACTGTCCCCTCCTCCCCAAGCCTGCATGAGAGCTTAACCAGGAGGTGGTATAGCATGGGCCTGGCACAGCTAGGGCTGAGGGGGAAGCGGGTAGAGTGCAGTGGCGTTGGGGCATGGCACCGTCAGAGATGTAGTCCGCTAATGCTGTGGGGAGAAGGCTCTGGAGCATGGGAGGTAGCAAGCCTCGTCCCAGGTGCTGTTGCAGGTAGGGCTGACGATGGGAGCTGCATCGCAGGAGAGAAAGGGGCCTCCTTGGGAACACTGGGCCAAGCAGACGCTGTGGCCAGAGGAGTCATCCATGGCATTAAGGGGCCTGTGGACTGCAGGGCAGTGGCCAAGTGGGCCGGGAGTGGAGGGGGCCCTGGCAGGTCAAAGGTCAATGGACAGCCCCCAAGCCAGGCAGATGGCAGGTGGCATCCCAAGGGTTTAGGGACGGGGTGGACAGGAGCAGGACGATGGCTGGAGGGCAAGGCTGGGACACGTGCAGGTGACAAGCTCAGTGCAGGGGCAGGGCATGCGCCATCTGGGCAGTGTGGAGGTGAGGAGCAAGGACAAAGCCTGTGTGTGGAGAGGCCTTGCAGGTGTCAGCAGCGTGGCGTCGGCATGGTGGAGAGGAGCGTGGCGCCGGCATGGTGGGGAGGAGCGTGGCGCCGGCGTGGTGGGGAGGAGCGTGGCGCCGGCGTGGTGGGGAGGAGCTGCGGGGTGGCAACCCAGAGGCAAGGAGGTGGGCAGAGGCCCCCGGAACTGGCCCTGCCCCTCAGCCCAGCCCCAGGTCACAGCACAGCCCTCCCCTGGCTGCCTCCAAGGAGTCCCCAGCTACTGAGTGGCCACTCCACGCCAGCTCAGCCCACACCTCACCTTCCCAGTGCCTGTGGAGGCCCAACCAGGGTGACGCTGGGAGAGGAGAGGGCTTGGAGGAGCCACAGGTCAAATGCAGGAGGCCACACCTGCCTACCCAGGAGGACTGCAGGAGCCGGGTCCTTAACACCTGGAGGGGAGCGGGTGGGTGCGGTGGCTCACATCTGTAATTCCAGCACTTTGGGAGGCTGAGGCGGGTGGATCACTTGAGGTCAGGAGTTCAAGACCAGCCTGGCCAAGTGAAACCCAGTCTCTACTAAAAATACAAAAATTAGCTGGGCATGGTGGCAGGCGCCTGTAATCCCAGCTACTGGGGAGGGTGAGGTAGGAGAACAGCTTGAACCCAGGAGGCAGAGGTTGCCATGAGCCAAGATCACGCCATTGCACACCAACCTGGGTGACAGAGTGAGACCATGTCTCCAAAAAAAAAAAAAAATCCATTGTTGAAGCTGTCCAGGCTGTGTATTTTGTTTTGGCAGCCCTGGCAGACTATAGATAGTCAGATGATATGGAGAAAGATGTAGAGAGATATTTACTTATAAATATAGGTACATATATAAAATGCCTGGAGGGAGCAGCAATGGTGGGAGGACTGAGGAGCGGCCCCAAGATGTGCTGTGGGTGGTCTGAGGGTGCGCACAGCCTCCTGGAGGGGAGGGTCCTGAGTGGGGCAGTGGGGACAGGGCTGGCCACAGGGCCGTGCCTTCCCTGGCCCCCAGAGGGGTGAGTTGGCTAGACCGACAGGGACAAAGCAGGGGTCAGAGCTGTGTCTGGTTCCTGAGTGGGCCTTGTCCCCTCTTCCCTCGTCCAGTATGGAGACAGCCTCTTTTCCTAAACTCCCTGCCCCCAGGGAGGCAGCTGGCAGGGATGTCCCCTAGGGACTTTGAGTGACCAGCCAGACTAGGCAGAGAGTGGTAGAGGAGACTCCAGTGTCCTGACCCAAGGCTCCACCACAGAGGGGAAGACCCCAGGAGAAACCTGGAGGCAGGTAGAAAGTGCCAGGGGGCCACCAGGCTCCCTGGGTACCCCTAACTCTGGGCCTCCAGCCTGATCTGAGCCTGTGGGTACAGGTCACTCAAGGCAGGTGTTCTGCACCGTCCATCTTTGTATCTTCTCTCTCACTTGCACCCTTGCCTCACTGTGCTTCTGAGAGTTGGGGGCGTACCTTAATCTACTGTCCCTTACCTGGCAAACAGTGGAAAGGTGGCATGATGTGTCCCTGCAGCTGCTATACCTCTAGGGGCCATCATTCATGCCATGGCTCTGTGACAGCACCCCCCAGAGTTGTGCAGTGTGCAACATGGGTGACCGCCCATGGCAGCTCACAGCATGTGGCTCAGCCCATTGGCCATGCAGGGGGCTCCTTTCCTAGGAGCAACAGGCCTGGGCTTCCTCTCCACCTGTAGGGGCAGCAGTGGGCATCTTAGGTAAATGCAGGACTCTGCAGCCCCTAGAGGACCCTGAGTGGTGGCTGAAGGATGGATGTGCCCATGGCCTTCCCTGAGCTCAGGTGCCTCAGCTCTGCTTTTAGAGGAGCAGGGCAGCCGAGGGGTGCCTGGCAGAGAGAGGCCTGCCAGCTGGACATGAGGACCCTGGAGCTTGGCCTGAGGGGCTGTGGTGGGAGCCATGCCTAAGCAGAGCTGTCCTGTGGCACACACTCAACCCTGGCTCTTCTGCCCATCACTTATCTCCATGAGGTAGGAAAGACAGAGTGAGCGCGGCTGCCCTGGGGGCTCAGCACTGGGGGGATGGTGACAGGACTTAGGGCTCAGGGCCGGGCTGCCTGGGACAAGCAGACCCTGAGAGGCCCCCTGTGGCAGGATCCATAGACCCATCTACTGGGCCAGCAGGGGCCAGGAAAGGAGAGGAGGAGACCGGTGGGGCTGGAGGCACCGGTGCGTCTGTGCAAGAGGAGGAAGCCCTGTGAGAGGGCAGCAGTCTCCCGACTGCCCTGCACACCATGCTGAGGGGCCTGGCATCCACCTGCAGCCCGAGGCAGCCCCAAGGGAAGGTCCCAGTGCCTCTCCAGGAAGGGCGGGGCTGGCCCTGATGTTTGGTCCCTCCTCAGCAGCCAGCCTCATGGTCAGCCTTGGCTGGTGGCTCCCATGGCAAGGCAGACCCTGGCCTGGACCTGAAGGCTCTGCCTTTGTGCAGAGCCCCGGCCTGACTGTACCAGCTTCCCTTTGTCCCCCTTTGTCCAGCCCTCCTCGGACGCCTTTGCTGTGGGAATCCCAGGCTGAAGCTGGAGGAAGGGCAGGAGGACTTCTTGTCCCCAACCTCTCACCACGTGCCTGTGCAGCCTGACATCCTGAGACCTCAACTGTGATGGGGAGGACAGACTGGGGTCTCTCCGGGGCCATCGTCCTGGGCTCCCCAGAACTGGGAGGGCCTGCGGGTCAGCAGGCCTCAGGCTCAGTGTCCTGAGCTGGCTCCTGCTTCCAGGAGTGGCCTGGCACTGGCCCGGGGGTCATCGGACACCCATTGGCCCACGACAAGCCACGCCTGTTCCTAGGAGCCTGTGTTTGCCCCCAACAGAGCCAGGGTGTGCCCAGCGGGGTGTCCCTGGGCCTGCTGACATGGGCTCTGGGCACTCTGCCGTGGCAGGCAGCACTTGCCCTGACTGCCAGGTCATCCCTCGAGGCCTGCCCACCCCAGGCGGGGCTTTGTACAAGGGATAGGCTTCCCTTATCTCCGTTTCCCTACCTGTCCTCAGAGACCTCACCCCTGACTGCCCCCAAAAGGCAGCAGATGCAATCGTGGGCGTGAACCTACTCTGTGACCCCCGCGGAGAGGAATTACCACACCACGTATGTGCCAAGGCAAGGACAGAGTAAGGGTGGGGGTCTCCAGGAGGGTGCGGTGACCCCCAAACCCAGAGTCTGTTCCAGTCACGCCAGGGCCTGCCCCGTCCCGATGGACTGAACCTGCACGCCCAGGGCTGACTCAGGGTCTGCTGAGCGGCACAGGCTGAGAGCCCCGCCCATCCGCCCAGGCTGTGGAAGTGCCCTGACCTTCCACCTCCACCCTGCCTCGGCGCCTGGCAGCATTAGCTCCCCCAGGGCCTCCAGGTGCCCTCAGATCACCCTCCCTCCTGCCACCAGGCTTCCTGCATCTCTCCATCTCCCAGGATCCCCACCCAGTTCACCCAGCACCGCCCTGCCCAGAGCCACTGTCCTGAACTGGTTTCCTGCAAGGACTGGGCCCAGCCAGGCAGGGCAGGCAGAAGTCGGGGCATGGGGGTGAGGACTCCTGCCCTGGGAAGGGGCCTCAGGGCTCTGAGTGCTGCCTAATCTCCCGATGTGTGACGTTAGGTCCCAGGAGGGCGAGCGCCCTGCCTGGCATCTCCGGATCTGCCCTCCCTCTGTCCCCAGGGTTGCCCTGGCACCAGCTGCCAGGGCTCTTTCCATGTAAATCTTGTCCAGATGCATCATGAGGAGCTAGTGCAGAGGGAGGGGGCCGCCGTCACTGAGGGTCCTGCCTGCCGGGACACCCCACTGCCAGGCATGTGAGGGTGGGAGGGGAGCTGAGACCCCTCTGCTGGGCAGAGAGCAGTACAGTGTGGCTGGGAGGATCCCTCATGGGTAGACAAGTTGAGGGCTTTTCTGCTGGGAGGTGAGGCAGGAAGGTGGGGCTGGATCTGGGCTCTGGAGTCCTGGGGACAGAGTGGGCCCCAAAAGGGCAGTAGTGAAGGAAAGGCCAGACCAGTCTGTGGGGCAGGGTATCTGTGTGTGTCCTCCAGCACCCCACCGGAACCCTGCTCACCTTCCAGGTGGAGCTCAAGGAGAGAGGGCAACAGGGAGGGTCCCCCATGCCATTCCGTGGCTGGCCGGAAGTGGGGCTGGAGACCTGGCCTTCTCTCGTGGGGCAGAGAGCTTCTGGGGCTCCCTCCAGGCTCTGCCACACCTGGCCTACACGGGTGTCTTATGGTGGCATGAAGACCAAAAGGTGCTGGAGGGACACCCCTTGCCATTGGTGGGGGCCTGGCTTCAGGGGCAATGGGCCATCGTGGGGCATCACAGATGCTGCCCCTTCCTCAGCTGTGAAGCGGGGACTCCTGCCTACATGTAGGGGAGCCCTATGAGCTGTGCCTTGGGGCTGGAGTGTCCCTGCAATCGTCATGCCACCAGCCCACCTGGCCTGCAGGAGCAGAGGGTGGGGGCAGCAGCGGACACCCACTGGACCTGTGCCCTGCTAAGCAGAGCCAAGCAAAAGGCAGGAGGGCTTTGGTTGTTGCCCCACCTGGAGAGGGTCCCTACTTTATCTCCAGCTTCCACTGGCACAAGAGGCCCTTTGGGAGCCTAAGGCAGTGGCGTCCAGGGCGGTGGCACAGTCTGCTTGTGTCATGTGGCTATCTCCTGGCAGGAGGGGATTGAGTCTGCACATCCTAGTCCCAGGCCCTCTCCCCACCGGCAGCAGGAGTCCCCCAGAGAGGGGAGCCTGTGGCTGGGTGTTCCCCAGAACAGGGCTGGCTCAGAACAGCTTTTGCCTTTTCATTTTAGATGGGAGGTGCCTGCTCAAAGGGAAGGGTCCCTGCTAAAGAGGGTGAGGGCAGGTTGGGCTGTGGCGGGGGCTGAATTCATGCTCTGCAGAAGGGTTGGGCCCTCACTCCTGCATGAAAGGAGCGAGCTCCAGAGCGGGCCCTGCAGCTGCAGAGACCTGTACCAAGCCACCTGGAGGTGTTGGCACCAGCCTGGGCCAGACCCTTCTAACATAGGACCCTGACCAAACGGCTGCACTCCTTGCATGGTGCAGGATGCTCACATCCCAGTCCTGCACAGACGCAGCAGAGCTGGCCACCGAGCCAGGCACCCCAAAATCCAAGAGCAGTGCCCTGCAGAGACAGGGGAAGCCCCTGTGGGTCATCCATGTCCGGGGGGTCCTCAGTACCCAAGTGCCCTCAGCTCAGCCAGGTTTCTGTTCCAGGGGGGCAACAACGCTGGCCACACGGTGGTGGTGGATGGGAAGGAGTATGACTTCCACCTACTGCCCAGCGGCATCATCAACACCAAGGCTGTGTCCTTCATTGGTGAGTACCCTGCCCCCACCTGTATGTGAGCAGGAAAGGGGTGTCAGCCAGCCCAGGATCCCCACTCGCAGGGGTACAGGGTACCAGAGCCTGGTGATGACGGCTCTAGCAGGAGGCTGGACCCCGGCCTCCACCTGCCCCACCAGGCACTGGTGCATAGAAACCTGCATAGCCCAGGCCTGGTCTGGGAACACAGCTGAGAGGACACTGGGCTGATGGGAGGAGGGCAGAGTCACATCCACCCGCAGGAGCGGGAATGCCTGATCCCTGATCCCTCGCATGCACACACTCTGCGAGACCACACGCCCACGTGCCTGTGACTGCATGTGCATACCTGTGAGTGAGCATGTGCTTGCGACAGGCCTGGCTTCTCGCTGCGCGGCGACCAGGCTAAGTGGACAAGGCCGTGCCCTTCCTGGCCTTATGGCCGTCCTCTTGCCTGGGCTGCTGTGGCCACCTGGCAGGCCTGGTTCCAGCCCCTTCCCAGTCCATGCTGCAGAGGGACCTCCTTCTACATCGCCTGCCCCCTCCTGGGTCCGGACACAGCCCCTCCCTGTGGACTTCACTGCAGCCACGGGTGACCACTCAGTGCTCCGAGAGGCGAGCCACCTCTGCCCCCAGGGTTCCGTGGCTCTCTTTCCCTCCCTCTCTCGGTCAGAAGCCTGCACTGTGCACCCTGGCCTCAGCTCTCAGCCCAAGACCCCCTTGCTCAGAGAAGCTTTTCCTGATCCCAGTGGCCAAGCCAGCCAGGCCCCTTCTTGTACTTTCCCTTCCAGCTCTTTCCAGACTACAGCAAGGCCATCCTTCTGACGTATCTGACCCCTTCTCAGCCTGTCAGGAAGTGGGGGCTCGGGCGCCTCAGGTGTGTGCCCAGCAGATGGCATAGGCCTGAGCCCGTCGAATGTGAGCAGCGGGAGGAAGATAGAGCAGAAGTGGCTGCCGCAGGGGCCATGTGTGATCAGGGGCTGAGCTGGAGTGACTCACCCAAGACCGTCCCCTTGGGTGCAGACCCAGTCCCTGGCCCTCCCAGCGGTGGAGTTAGGACAGTGTGGGGACGGTCCCTAGTTCACAGCAGGAAGGCCCTAAGCAGTGAGGTGGCCTGCCCGCCATGTCGCGGGAGCCCCTGGCCCTGGCAGACTGGGCAGTAGCGCTGGCTGGCCGCTCCCGGTTGTGCTGCAGGAAGCCTTCTCCAGCCGCCAGCCCCATCCTGCCCAGCCCTGGGCCCCACATGGCGGGAAACAAGGCCAAGGAGGCACCGCTTAGCAAGTGGCAGGACGTGCCAGGGCTCACACAGACACCCTCAGCTTGCGACACTCCGGGCCTCTGCCACTTGTTTATTTTAGGATGCCGTGGCATTTGGGTGACCTTTTGTGCTCACCGTGGCTTACGTAGACTCCAGGTCACTCTTGTCTGGACTGAAGTCCTGTCTCTTTCAGCTGAGCCTGTGCCATGGCCAGCCTCAGAGGGAACTGGCAAAGGGAAAGGGGCTCCTTGGAGAGGCAGCAGGGGGTCCTGAAGGGCTTCGTCTTCAAGCAAAGGGTTTAGAGCTCAGGGGTATATTTGTGTTTTGTTTTTTGTTTTTAGACAGGGTCTTGCTGTGTCACTCAGGCTGGAGTGCAATGGCACAGTCCTAGCTCACTGCAGCCTCAACCTACTGGGCCCAAGGGATCCTCCTGCCTCAGTCTCCCAAGTAGCCAGGACTACAGGCTTGTGCCACCACACTCAGCTAGTACATATATGCATTTTTTTTTTTTTTAAGAAATGGGAGTCTTGCTATGTTGCCCAGGCTGGTCTCCAACTCCTGGCCTCAAGTGATCCTCCTGCCTCAGCATCGCAAAATGTTAGGATTATAGGCAAGAGCCGCCATGCCCCACCAGAGTGGCGCATTTGTTACAATCAATGGACCTGCACTGACACATCACCATCACCCAGCGTCCATAGTCACCTTAGGGTTCACACTTGGTGCTGTACATTCTGCCAGTTTGGACAAATGTATGCTGTGTATCTGCCACCAGAGTATCATACAGACTTTTTTCACTGTCCTAAAAACCTCCGAGCTCAACCCGTTCATCTCTCCCTCCTCAACCCTCGGCAGCCACTCACGCGGTCTCCGTAGTTTTGCCTTTTTCAGAATCTTGGAGTTGGAATTGTACAGTATGTTGCCTTTTCAGATTGGCTTCTTCCACTCAGTAATATGCATTTAACTTTCATCTACGTCTTTTCACGGCTTGATAGCTCATTTGTTTTCAGTGTTGAATAATACTCCACTGTCTGGAGGGACCACCGCTGACTTCTCCTTTTGTTTACTGACGGGCCTCTTGACTGCTGCCGAGTTCCGGCGATTATGAATAGAGCTTCTAAACATCCACGTGCAGGTTTCTGCGGGGACATCAATTTTCAGCTCCTTAAATACCAAGGAATGTGATTGTTTTGCAACCATCACCACCATCCACCTCCAGAACTTTCTTATCTTCACACACTGAAATGCTGAAACATCAAACAACTCCCCAGTCTCCCTCTCCCAGCCCCTGGTGCCTCCCATTCTACTTTCTATCTCTATGAATTTGACTCTTCCAGGGGCCTCATATAAGCGGAATCATCCTGTTTGTGTCCGTTTGTAACTGCCTTATTTCACTCAGCATCATGTCTTCGAGGCCCCTCCACGTTGCAGCCTGTGTCAGTATTTCCTTCCTACTTTAAGACTGAATACTTTTCCATCATATGGATAGACGATGTTCTGCTTATCCATTCATCTGTCAATGGATAGCTCTTGGCTACTGTGAATAATGCTGCTGTGAACATAGGTGTGCCCATTTCATGCTGGGTTGTTTTTGTTTGTTTGTTTGTTTGTTTGTTTGTTTTTTGAGACAGTCTCACTCTGTCACCCAGAGTTCAGTGGCAGGATCTCAGCTCACTGCAACCTCTGCCTCCCAGGTTCAAGTGATTCTCCTGCCTCAGCCTCCCCAGTAGCTGGGATTACAGGCATGCACTACCATTCCCAGATTTTTTTTTTTTTTTTTTTTGTATTTTTAGTAGAGACGGGGTTTCACCATGTGGGCCAGGCTGGTTTTGAACTCCTGACCTCAAGGGATCCTCCTGCCTCAGCCTCCCAAAGTGCCAGGATTACAGGCATGAGCCACTGTACCCATTCACTTCATGCTGTTCTTAATGTACGTTTTCCAATGTCTGGGACACAACTCTTGTCTCATGCCTCTGTCTCTCATGCAGGCAACGGGGTGGTCATCCACTTGCCGGGCTTGTTTGAGGAAGCAGAGAAGAATGAAAAGAAAGGTAAGTCCAAGCTCCTGCAGACTTGCCCTGTCCCAGACACGGTGCCCTGAGAGGTTGTGTTGGCTGGAGCCTCTCTGAGGGTTTCTCCCGCAGAGGGGACTGGCGGGGGTGGGTTCCCAACACAGTTGGCTCAGCTCATCACTGGCTCTACCTGTGCAGAAAACGAGTGAGCCAGGCAACCCCGAGGCCTCAGACGCTGGCGGCCTCGGCATCACAGGGCCAAGTAGCACTTGCAGACTCAGGTCAGGAAGTCTGGGAAGGAGCCAGGGACCTGGACCAGACACCCAGGGGGAAGTGGGGACTGCTGGGCTAATTATGCCTGCAGGGAAGGATGTGGCTCCTGGGGGCTCTGAGGAGCATCTGGCCAGGCACACAGAGGCCTGCAGGCAGTGAGCGAGACCCACCAGCTGGGGGTGTGGGCAAGGCAGACCTAGTGTGGGTAGGGACAGACAGCAGCCTGAGTGGGTCTGGGAGGACGCTGAGCTCCAGCCTCACGCTCAAGGGCAGGATGGGTGTGAAAAGAGCAAGGAGAATGTGATTCTGGGGACATGGGCACCAGGGGGTACCCAGACTGAGGCCCTGAGGGGGCAGGTCACCTTCAGAGTGGCTGCAGGTAGGGAGGAAGGCCAGGCACTCACACCAGCTCCGGCTCCCCAGCCCGGAGGGGTGAAGCCTGCAGGCATGAGAGTGGGCATCCCGGCGGGGGGTGGAGTGAGGGTCCGGGAGCCTCAGCTGGGGAGCAGGCAACGAGGGGCAGGCCTGCTGCTTGCTGTGCAACAGAGGTGGCCCTGTCGGCCCCCACATGCCTTACCCGGATGGGAGCCGGGCGAGCTAGCCCAGCCTTGGCCTCTCACGTGTGAGCTGCAGTGAACACTGACCCACCTGCGTGCCGTGTCCCCGCAGGCCTGAAGGACTGGGAGAAGAGGCTCATCATCTCTGACAGAGCCCACCTTGGTACGTTTCCCACTGGGGTACAGGGAACAGCCCCTCCTGCCCCCACCATTGCCAGCCGGCCCTGCTCCTCCACGGCCACCAAGATCAGGGAAGTCCCCAAGGCCTTCTTGTTCCACATGGCTCCGTTAGCTTGTACGTTATCCTTTTTAAAGAGCTTCAAGGTGGGAGCTGGGTCAGGGATCCCTAGCCCATTTGCAGATGGGGAAACTGAGCCCCAGACACTCATGGTCACACCCCAGTTTGTCCTCTTTGAAATCTCGACCACCCCCTTCCCAGGAGACTCAGGCCGGCAGGAGGTGAGTTCCATGTGTAAACATCTGTCCTCTGCTTCTCTCCCGTTCCCTGGTGCCCTCACCTGGCCCACCCGCCAGTGTTCGATTTTCACCAGGCTGTCGACGGACTTCAGGAAGTGCAGCGCCAGGCACAAGAGGGGAAGAAGTGAGTCTGCCAGGACACCCTCAGCCTCAGGGAGTCTTCTGGGCCCGCAAGCTGGCAGACTGTGGGGTGTGTCTGGTCCTGGGCACGAGGAGGGTACCTCAACCCACTCAAAGCCCCTGGAGAATGGCACCAGGAATGTCAGAATTCCACAGTGCATCACCCAACCCCCGGACGAGCCAGCCCGTCTCTCTCTGGGGTTGCACACTGTCCTTGCTGGCTGTCACTGCCACGCAGCCCCCCACAGGAGTGCATAAGCCCTACCGTAGCTTGTCACACCCACCACCTTTCCTGACTCCACACAGGCCCCAGCGAGGACATGAGGAACACTAAAAAAGTTTAGTAGAACCTCAGATGTGCCAAGGACACAGGAGTGAAGCAGATGAGTGTCCTGCCCCAGAGAGGTGATCACACACCCACTCACACTCTCCACAGGCAAGGGCACACGCTCGTGCTCTCACATACACACCACACGCCCACGCATGCTCGCACAGGTATGCACATGTGCACGCACCGCACAAGCCCACACACCCACGCAAATGCACAAAAGTACACACAGCCACACCTACATACACTCACACACGTGCACACACTCCGTGTGCACACATCCACACACAGGCACACACCGTACCAGTACATACATCCATGCGAGTGCGTACACCCACACTGCACACACTCACAGCTCAGCCAGATACAGGCGGCAATAGTGAGCACTGGAGTCATGAGCCGGCGGGGGTCATGGCCTCAGTGGGATGCCTGAGCTCCTTGGGGCTCCTGGGTTCTCATGGGCACCCCCTCCTCATCTTTCAGTATAGGCACCACCAAGAAGGGAATCGGACCCACCTACTCTTCCAAAGCTGCCCGGACGGGCCTCCGCATCTGCGACCTCCTGTCAGATTTCGATGAGTTTTCCTCCAGGTACTTGAGCCATCTGCAGTCCCGGGAGAGGATGGGGAGAGGTTGCCAGAAGGGTCTGTGGCTAGTGGGGAGGGCCCTGAGGACCAGCGTGGACCGTGACGGGGTGACAATGACTGTCCCTTGTGCAGATTCAAGAACCTGGCCCACCAGCACCAGTCGATGTTCCCCACCCTGGAAATAGACATTGAAGGCCAACTCAAAAGGCTCAAGGTGAAGCCGGGGCCGCAGTGTGGGGGCTGTGAAGTGCCCCTCCAGGGAGGCTGGCTGTCCTACCTGGTGCTCGTTGAACACCCTTGGGGCACACCCGTTATTAGGCATTGTTATGGGCTGGCCAACCTTCTTGGGGATGCAGGACTCCTCTGCCCCAGGTCACAGGCTCACGCTGCTGCTTGGTCCTTCCTTGCAGGGCTTTGCTGAGCGGATCAGACCCATGGTCCGAGATGGTGTTTACTTTATGTATGAGGCACTCCACGGCCCCCCCAAGAAGATCCTGGTGGAGGGTGCCAACGCCGCCCTCCTCGACATTGACTTCGGTATGTCCGGGAGGATGTGCGTGCCAGCGACCTTTCGTGCCTGCCAGGGAAGACCCAGCTGCGGAGAGCTGTGGGAACAGATGGGGGAGGGAGGGGCAGACCCGCTTTCCAAGGCCACAGTGCCATCCATGCCCATGGAAATGATTCTCATGTCCTTAGTGTTCCTATTGTCAGCAAGGCAGGGGAGAGGAGAAAGGGCTGGGCTAGAGATGAAAGAACAGGGTGACAAGGTGACAAGGTCAGGGGTGGGGCCAGGGAGCCTGGCAAGGTGGGTCAGAGCCAGCCCTTCTGACGGTCTGTACAGCCATATCCTGTCCTCACCCCCACAGGCCCACCAGCTTACCCTCACCCCCAAGGCGGCCTGGCCACCTCAGGCCATGCTGTGGGCAACTTCCTCCATCCCCTCACCCCAGACTCTTATGTGAGCCATATAGCCCAGCACAGCACCCATTCAGCCACTCCCCCAGGACAGGCCAGGCTAGCGACCCCCACGGAGGGGACCCCCCATGGTCTGAAGTGCCCGCTGCCCTTTACTGAGAAGGCCTCTTGGGCTGGGTGGAGTAATCTACAGGGGATGACAGGTAGCCCCCTAACCTGCTCTGTCTTGCAGGGACCTACCCCTTTGTGACTTCATCCAACTGCACCGTGGGCGGCGTGTGCACGGGCCTGGGCATTCCCCCGCAGAACATAGGTGACGTGTATGGTGTGGTGAAGGCCTATACCACACGCGTGGGCATCGGGGCCTTCCCCACCGAACAGATCAACGTGAGTCCCCAGGCCCTCAGGACCCCATGGGAGGTCAGGGAGGCCCGGCAGCGGTGCCAGGGGTGGGGTGAGCAGTGCCAGGGTGGGGGCTGTGGGGACCCTGCCTGTACCATTTCCCCATCTCCCACCAGGGCCCTTCCTGCTGTGCAGGCCAGGGTGGGGCTTAGTAAGAGGCACTGGGGTGGGCCTATTCCCACAGCCGCAGCACATGAGCTCACACAGGGTGTGCACATGGACACATGTACACATGACCTCACTCCCCTCGGAGTGTGAGGCCCACAGGCAAGTGGGGGCGCCTTGCAGCTCCTCAGGACACCCTCATTTGGGGTAGCTGGTGGACTCACCTTGGCTCAGGGAGGACACTAAGCACCTTCCCTCGGCCTTGTCCCCAGGTTGGGGGGCGGTCCTCTGTCACAACCAAGCTAGACTTGGGGCTGAAAGCCAGCCCCCACAACCCCACCCAGCTCTCCAGCCTCAGGAAGGTTTCTGGAAGCTGCTGTGGCCCCAGAATCCTCAGGAGGCCCCAGCCTTCCTCTCTCAGCCTCAACCTGTGACCCTTGGTAGGGCAAGGACATGGCCCTTGTACCTGAGCAGGAAGAAGGGCAGGTGCTGGGAGAGCCAACACAGGGAGGGGCGGACGCTCTCCAGAGAGGCTTGAGAGGGTGCAGGGATAGGTGTCAGGAGATACACACACCCCTGACCCCCAAAGCCAAGCTGCAGGGCCAGGCCCACCTCCACCAGCTGCCCAAGGCAGGAGGGGAAGACGGCAAGGCTGCCGGTGCCTTCCCCAGCTCACAAATCCTAGTGGTCTGGTGTGTTCAGGAAGAGTGCTCACTGGCTCACACGGCACTGTGCGCCAGGCCCTGCCCGTTGTGAGCCTCAGCTGCCGGACAGGCTTACCATGGACATGGGGATGTAGGGGAGCCGGATGTAAGGACTGTCAGCGGAGGCGAGGCAGCCTCAGGGATTCTGAGATCTGCGTGTGGGGAGGGAGAGGTGGGGGGAGCAGCAGGGCCAGGCCACACAAGGCCCCCACCACAGTCCACGTGACATCTGCCCTGTTCTCATGTAGGAGATTGGAGACCTGCTGCAGACCCGCGGCCACGAGTGGGGGGTGACCACAGGCAGGAAGAGGCGCTGTGGCTGGCTCGACCTGATGATTCTGAGATATGCTCACATGGTCAATGGATTCACTGCGTAAGCAACCCATGCTGCTGCCATCCCCACTGGGACCGTCCCTGACTCCCGACACGTGCAGAGGCAAGCAGCACTTAACGCAGGGGCTGAGGGCCACCAAGTCTCCTTGGACAAGGTTTCCCACTGATCTCGACCCTTCCACAAAGCACGGCCCAGGGGTTAGCGGTATGGAGGCCTGTGCAGGGTGTGTTGCAGCCGCCCTGGGAGCACAAACTCCCACCCCAGGGCTGATGCCGTGAAGGATGAGGGCGTTCCGGCACTTGTAAAAGGTTAAAATGCTTCATGTGGAGACCGGAAGTCCCCAGGACGAAAGGATGCACCGTCATCCTGCTAGGAGGACAGAAGCACTGGTGCCGGCCTGTCGAGGCGTCCACTCTGCAGGCCCCTCTGCTCCTCACAGACTGGCCCAGGCTGCCCAGCTGTTCAGGCTGTCTCCCCGGCTGTTCAGGCTGTCTCCCAGGGATCAGAAAGAGGCTTTGCGTGATGGCTGGGCTCACGGCTTCCTCTCCAGCTCAGTCAGACAGGCCAAGGCTGTGAGTCGCACATCTTCCACCAGGGTTGACAGCATCAGCCAAAATTCCTCGAGAATTAACCAGACCCCTCCTGGGTGGGTAGAGCCAACCCGGCAACAGGAAGCAGAGGAACCTAGTAGCTGACGGTGTGGCATCTGGGGTCCCTGACCCTCACTTTCCTTATGTGCAATGCAGGGTTCATGGCGCCAGCCTCACCGTGTGCTAGGGCTCAGGCTGTGGTGCTAGCTTGCCTGCCACTCATCTGCTCTGCAGCCCAGTTCCTAACAGGCCACCACCAAGTACTGGTCCGCAGCCCAGGGACTGGGGACCCCTGCTATAAATAACAGAAGTGAGAGGTGAAAAGCAAATGGAAGAAACCTCAGCATTGCTGACCACTTCGTGGGTTTGCCTGGCCCCTTGGCTTTCCACAGGCTGGCCCTGACGAAGCTGGACATCCTGGACGTACTGGGTGAGATTAAAGTCGGCATCTCGTACAAGCTGAACGGAAAGAGGATTCCCTATTTCCCAGGTATGTGAAGTGGGGCAGCCGTTCTGCCCGTTGGGCCGTTTCATGGGTATTGGAATAGATGGGACCTGTGACTTCTCAGAGAGGGGAGAGTTCCCACATTCACAGGACACAGGGCAAGCAGCTTGTTTCCAGGGACCAGCCTCCATCATGGCTTTCGCCTCTCATGGGTTTCTCCCCACAATGTTCCCCGGGAGGCCTGGCCGGGCAGGGGTGGCTGCAGGCGCCTTCCAGTGCTATGGGAATGGCAAGGGGGACAGACTACGTGCCTGGGACCCTGGGGGTCCTTCAGCTGCCTTGGGGAAAAGGCCCACCTGCAGGGAGCCACGGGAGGCACACAGGAGTTAGTGGATGCAGTCGGTTCTGGAAAACCTAAAGCTCTATGCAGATGTACAGGATGACTATTTCATCTGAGAAAATATGCTTTGTGGTGAGATTTTAAAGACCTAACTGGGATCCCTGCTCCTGTGTACCCCTTCTTCTGGAAAGCATGAAGGAGATGCCATTTTCCTGGGTTTCACAGTTTCGTGTGCCTCTGGACGTGCCCCCTCAACCTCAGTCCAGGGTCATGTTCTGACCCCCACAATGGCTTCCTCCCCAGCGGCCCTGGGTGAGCTGCCCCTGGCTGGTCTCCATTCAGCAGATCTGTGTAGACCACAGAGGGCCACCTGGCCACAGGAGCCGTGTGTGTCCTTGCAGGCAGTGTCCCTGACCCTCCTGACCCTTGACCTTTGAGAGGATGCACTGCTGAGGCCTGCAAGGTCTCCTCATGGTGGTCCAGGGTCCCAGGAGGACATGCAAACACTGCCTGGCTCCAAGGCTCAAACACATTTGCAGCGAGAACCTGTGTTCCAGCATCTTCCATCTGTAAGGGTGGTCGTCTTCTACCATGAGCCACAGAGTCCTGCACAGAGTGGAGGTCCCTGCCCTCTGGGAGCTGATGTTCTTGGGGTGGGAGGACATAGATGCTTCAGGATCCCTTAGTGCTTCAGGATTCTAGAGTCTCAGAATTTCCAAGCCAAGGCTTGGAGTGCCTCAGCTGATGTCACAGTGGAGGTTCTAGCAGAGTGGGTAGCACATATGTGTCATGTCCCTCTGGTCTGGAAGGCATGTAGTCAGTGTCTGAGCCCCACTGCTGTCCCCTGCTCACCACCCAACACTGAGAAAATCAAACTGGGCCACATGCCCACTTGCTGCCTTCCTCATTGCTGAGTCCCTGAACAAGGAGGCCCTGGATGGGGGTGGCCGTGTCACCAAATATTTGCTTCCTTGGTGATAGGAGAGAGGTCTGTGGGCCCCACTCATCTCCTGTGTGCTTCCCCCAGCTAACCAGGAGATGCTTCAGAAGGTCGAAGTCGAATATGAAACGCTGCCTGGCTGGAAAGCAGACACCACAGGCGCCAGGAGGTGGGAGGACCTGCCCCCGCAGGCCCAGAACTACATCCGCTTTGTGGAGAATCACGTGGGAGTCGCAGGTGGGTGCCCTGCATCCCCAGCCACCCTCCCTGCACCCTGGATGCCCCAAGGGGCCCACATCCCAGCGCAGGGCTTGGTGAGCAATAAGAAAACCAAGTGTGGTCACCAAGTGAATATATTGGAGGGCAGGAGGGGAGGAGGACTCAGAGCTGGGGCAGCACGGCTCCTGTGGCCAGGGTGTGGGTGTGACCTTGCCAGGAGCCCCTGCCTCTCCGCATCCAGAACAACAGATGGGTCACATGCCAGCCATATGATTGTGTCGTATGTTTACTCTCATAGCCCAGGGGTGTTTGCACCCACAGAGAAAGGGCCTGCAGGGAGAGTCACTAAGTAACTAAGGTTGCCATTTCCAAGGGAGAAGGGAAGAGACTCCTGTTTTCTGCTGCGGGAGGATCAGTCCCCCAACATGCGCAACCTTCTTTTTTTTTTATTTATTTTTATTTTTTTTAAATTATAGATAGATAGATAGATTTTTTTTTTTTTTTTGCTTTTTGAGACGGAGTCTGGCTCTATCACCCAGGCTGTAGTGCAGTGGCACGGTCTTGGCTCACTGCAACCTCCGCTTCCCAGGTTCAAGCGATTCTCATGCCTGTCTCTCGAGTAGCTGGGACTACAGGTGCCCGTCACATGCCCAGCTAATTTTTTTTTTTTTTTAGTAGAGACGGAGTTTCACCATATTAGCCAGGCTGGTCTCGATCTCCTGACCTCATGATCCACCCGCCTCAGCCTCCCAAAGTGCTGGGATTACAGGCGTGAGCCACTGCGCCCGGCTTGCACTACCTTTATAACTTAAAAATTAAAACTGTCTCCATTTGGAGAGAAAATAGCCCTTTTTACCAGATGAACCACACAGAAAGATACGAGGCTAAAGAAAACTTTTTCTGAATTTTCTGCCTCCAGTGTATATCATAACAGTCTTTTCTGCTTTTTCAGTCAAATGGGTTGGTGTTGGCAAGTCAAGAGAGTCGATGATCCAGCTGTTTTAGTCACAGACTGAGCTGATCCCAACAGACCTGGCAGCGAAACAGCAGCAATCACGTTCCTCGGCAGCCACAACCAACACCAAAGCAGGAAAGCCGTTTTCTGTATTTTTCTATTTCTGTTCAACCTGTTGGTTTCTACAATGATTTTAAACATTGGAAAGCCAGCCTTGTGTATATTTTTAATAATTCTGCTATTTAAAATGAGCCAAAGTGCTCAAAGCAGAGACCTTCTATGACACATTAGTGTCACATGGTTGCGTGTCCAGCTGAAGCAGTGTCATAATAAACATCTCCAATGGCCACTGAATGGGAGCAGTCATTACATGTTTGATTTGACTTTGTCTTTATTGCTTTTAAACACTGAAAGACAACAATTCACTGTGACAGGAGTCTGGACGATGCAGCTTCCTAAGAGCTGCCCATCTTTTTTGGGTCACAAAGCCAAGCCTTGTGTTTACTCAGAAAATTAAATAGAACAAGCCCATATAAGAGACCAAGTGAATTAAATATGGTTTTTTTGTTTATTTGTTTTGTTTTGTTTTGAGATGCAGTCTTGCTCTGTCACCCAGGCTGGAGTGCAGTGGCACAATCTCAGCTCACCACAACCTCTGCCTCCCAGGTTCAAACGATTATCCTCCCTCAGCCTCCCGAGTAGCTGGGATTATAGGCGCCTGCCACCACGCCCAGCTAATTTTTGTATTTTTAATAGGGACGGGGTTTCACCATGTTAGCCAGGCTGGTCTCGAACGCCTGACCTCATGATCCGCCCGCCTCAGCCTCCCAAAGTGCTGGGATTACAGGCGGGAGCCACCACACCAGTGTGTTTAGTTTTAAAAAAACATATTTAGGCCAGGTGCGGTGGCTCAGAATTCGGAGTAAGTTTAGAAAAACAACTGCCGTTCCAGTATCCTTTCAAAGACAGGGAATCCTACAGAAAGGCCAGGCTGGTGGGGTTAGACCCTGACTTTTGAGCACTGTGGCTGTCAGCCGGTCTCACTAGCACGGGAAGTTCAGCAGGCTCTACTCACACGGCAGGGGCCCGGGGGCATAGGCTGGGTTATGAGATTACTGTGACTCCAGGGATTCAAGCAACTTTTCTAGACAGTGCCAAGAACAGCCCTCAGTGACCTGAGCGACAGGAAAGCCATGCAACTGCATGGCCCTGCCCCAGGCCACGGGCACTTGCTTCCTCAGGCCTGAGTCCCTCAGCAGCACAGCCACCTTGGGATAGGGTGGGACACACAGGCAGAAGTCAGCCTTTGAGTGTTCCCAGATGCTCTCCTTTCATAACATAGCAAGAGAGACAAAAAGGGAGCCTCGAGGCAGGGGTAAGCTCCTGGGGAGAGGGGGCTGAGGGCTTTCTCCACTGGGCCCTGGTATCTGCACTGGGCCGTCAAAGTCAAGTCATTTAAATAGAAATTTGAGAGCTGCAAAATAGGTGTTCAAACCTCTGTTTTGTAGTAGGTGCTAAATCTTCCACCAGAACACTAATTGTCATCGTTTTCCTCCCTCTCGGGATGGAATCCCGGCAGGCGTTTCACAGGGTAAAAAGACACCAACGCAGAGGGGAAATACTTCTCCCCCAGCACCAACTCACTCACTTCCACGTGGACCAGAGCCAAGAGGCTCTGGCGACTGAGTGGTGGGTTAGTGCAGACAGCCAGGCCAATCATTCGGGTCTCCACTCCCTTCTTTTCAGTAGCAGATGTTTGGAGGGTCTGAGTGCTTATGGTAAGGGGCTCTCTCCACTTTGTATCAATAACACAGCCCCAGTGTAGAAGGGGTCAGAGTGGTCTCTGTTGAATACATGGGTAAAAGACAAATTAGTGATAATTGTAGTGAATTATTATCATTTTATGATAAGATTTATTCAGAATGGCATCCATTAGGAAGAAAAGTTGGACTTTCTGGTACAGAAGCAGGGCTCAGTCATTCTTTTTTTTTTTTTTTTTTTTTTTTTTTTTGAGCCGGAGTCTCGCTCTGTCACCCAGGCTGGAGTGCAGTGGCCGGATCTCAGCTCACTGCAAGTTCCGCCTCCCGGGTTTACACCATTTTCCTGCCTCAGCCTCCTGAGTAGCTGGGACTATAGGCGCCCGCCACCTCGCCTGGCTAGTTTTTTATATTTTTTTAGTAGAGATGGGGTTTCACCGTGTTAGCCAGGATGGTCTCGATCTCCTGACCTCGTGATCCGCCCATCTCGACCTCCCAAAGCTGGGATTACAGGCTTGAGCCACCGCGCCCGGCCTAGCTCAGTCATTCTTGACACAGTTTCTAGCTCCTCACCTCCTCCCAGTTCCCCAGGGTGGTCCACCCAGATCTCTGCTTTATACACCTGCTTGCTGGTGACCAGCTCCCTATAGGACACCTGGATACAACCTACTGGACTCGGCCCCTGACCCCCACACCCCTCACGGACTGTGCAGACATGCCACAGTGACCACCACCCAGTCACAGCAAGATACCATGAAGCTGACGCCTGCTGGCTCGAAACCACACCCCACAGGAAATGCGCTTGGGTAACACCCTGGACCCCAATACAGATTTGGTGCACAGGCCACTGGCTCGCTCCCCATCCTCTGGCTGGGCCTGCCTGTTCCCCAAGGCTCCCCCTTCCCGCTGGCCTGTGAGGAACGCTGCCTCCTCCCTCCAGCCCCGTGAGTCACACACCCGCTCTGCGGTTTCATGTGTTCTGCTGCGCTGCCTCCTCCAGCTCTCACCTGACCCTCGCACCCAAACCTCACTCTCCTCCTGGTCAGGGATCTCCCAGAGAGGCCACCATGATAGCAATGAACTGATCACGGCTCAGACAAAAGCCACAGGCTGCCTGCCAAGGCCTAGAAGCAAGCTGCTGGTGAGAGGAATGCCAGCACGGCTGGATACGCAGGCCTGAGGCCATCAGCCAGGGTCAGGAGGCATCCCACGAGGGCACACTAACCCCACGCCCACCGGCCCCAGAGCCCTGTCAGGGCAGGGCCAAAGTTTACAGCCACTCTCCAGAAGAAACCTCAAGACCGATTAGAGGAAAATTATGACAATGATTTTGTTTAATGAATTTTCCTTTTTCCTAGCACTTTGGACAGCTACCAGTTTCTTTACAAGTTAAGTATCCATCTGACGCAGGGCAGGTGAGCCCCAAAATTGGGGCTTAACCCTGGAGGGTTCATGGCTTCGCCCAGGAAGGCATTCAAGGGCGAGCGGGTGGTGTTAGCCAGGCAAGTTTGTTGAAGCAGCAGAGTCCTGCCCAGCAGCCTCTGAGGAACCGGCATACGGCCCGGGGGACAGCCCCGCTCCACAACCTGCCCGAGGTTCTGTATCTGTCCACGATGGTGATGCGACCCTAGGGTAGTTTGAAGTCTGAACACAGGGAAATCTTTAGAAATCCCCACGATCTATGAGATTGAAAAGAATCCTCCTCTCTGAGAATTTCATCTATTTCTGGGATAAACCAAATGTGTGTTTAGTCACACGTGACTCCAACTGAGCAACTTTCAAGTCATTTCCCTAAAGCAGAAGGAATTCTCCATTATGCCGGCGAAGTGGCAAGGAAGAGCCGAGAATGCTGGATCCCGCCCCCCACCAAGGACATCTGACCTGGAGGCTGGTGGGGCTTCGGCCACCCGTGGCCAGGGAGGAGTGCGCTGCCTCCGAGGGGGTGCGGGCAGCTGCGCCGCGGGTGTCACGCGGGATGGGTTTGCAGGGTTCCAGGCGTCAGCTCCTCACACGGGAGGCGGCGCCGACCGAGCCGCGAGGAGAACATAGTCCAAGGTGAAGCCCACGCCACAGGACGCGTCGGTTCTGCACCCGCCGGGCAGGGGAGAGCCGCCTCTGGTGAGCAGAACCCCGGAGAAGGGACGACGCGGGTGCACCGCGCGGCCTGGGGACCCCAAGTCAGACGACCCCGCTGTGCAAGAACATTTTCCACACACCCCCGCCCGGGGGCGCTCGGCAGCCGCACGCGGCCCTCGGAGCGCAGCCCCCACACGCCTTTACTTCCGGAAGGCGGGGACCGCCACAGCGAGGAGCTAGACCAGCCGAGGCAACAGAGCGAAACCCCGTTCCTACCCAAAACCGAAAAGCGGAGCGCGGAGGCGCGCGCCTGCGGTCCCAGCTACCCGGGAGGCAGAGGAGGGAGGATCGCCTGAGCCCGGAAGGCGGAGGCTGCAGTGAGCCGAGACTACCACAGCACTCCAGTCTGGGTGACAGAGCGAGACCCTGTCTCTAAAAGGAAAAAACAGCTAGGAAAAAGCGGACTGCCCCTTAACTTCGGAGAAGTAAATGAGGAACTATAACCAGTGTCTACTGTTTAGGCATCAAACAAAAGCTGACAGGAATCCCGCCACCGACCCGGCCGTCCCCTGGCCAATCCCGCGCCGTTCCTCAAACTAGACCCGCTCCGACGTCGCCCTGGCGTTTCCCACGCCGATCCTCAAACGAGGCCCGCCCCCGATGCACAAGCTCCGCCCCTTAAACGCACCGCCCTTGCTGCACCGTCCTGACCCTCGGCTTCACCCGCTGGCTCTTCCCGCGCAGCCGAATGCCGCCCCTGACCTGGTTCCCAGCCTACCTCGCTTCGCACTGCATAGGAACCCCGCCCCTAGACTGTCCTCCCGCCTATCCTGAGCCGCGTGCGCACAAATCCCTCCCACAGACCCGCCCACCCTGATCCTCAACCTGGCCCCTGGCCTTTCCCGCGCGGTCGAATCCAGTACACCGGCATATGAGTCCCACCCCCGATCTCGTCCTCCGCCTATCCCGCGCCGCTCCGCGCAGGAGCCCCGCCCCCCACTTCACCCGCAGCCTATCACGCGCCGCGTCGCTTCCTCTGCCTCAAACCCGCTCACGCCCGCGGATGGGCGCGCGGCTGTGACGTCACTGCGTCGTTGGTAAGGGGCTGGCGGCCGGGGGGCTGCGTAGCTCCCGGCCCCGAGGCAATGCCCAAGCGGGGCTGCCCTTTCGCGGACGCGGCCCCGCTACAGCTCAAGGTCCGCGTGGGCCAGAGGGAGGTGAGCCGCGGCGTGTGTGCCGAGCGCTACTCGCAGGAGGTCTTCGGTGAGTGCCGGAAGGGCTGCCGAGGGTCCACTGCGTCGGGGCCTGGAACGGGCCGGGCCTCAGTGTCTCCTCTGAGGCCTGAGCGGGGGGCTCGAGGGCCCTGCTTTCTGGCCGCGGTTACACAAGCTGGCCACGCCCAGGGCTGGAGTCAGTGAGGGGGATGTGAGGACCCCAGCGTTCACCCACCTTGTCCAACAACCTGAAAGAAGAGGGTCGCTGCCCTTAGTCCCCGTGCCCTCTTCCACGATCCCAGTTAGTCGCCGCCCCTCAGTGAGCGGCAGCTGCCTGGTGCTTCTTCAGGACTGTCCCGTGCAGGATGCCCTGGGAGAGGTCGGGGAGCGGGGCGTCCTGCATGGAGTTAACCTGAAGAGTGCCCCTCCTGACCCAAGAGGTATTCATGGAGCGCGCCGCCCCTGCCAGGCACTGCGGCTGTCCTGGGAGACCAAAGGCGGGCAAGACAGATGTGTCCCGTCTCCCGGGAGCTCCCCAACCTAGTTGGGGAGACCAGCAGGAGAAGGAATCGCCACAGGTGATCCGGGCAGGCACAGGTTTGTGCAGTCGCACCTGCAGGGACGGCATGGAAGGCTTCTCGGAAGAACAGAGTCTGAGCCGAATCCTGTGGGGAGAGTGCGAGTTAGCCAGGCAGAGGCAGGGACGGAAGAGGCCGAGGCAGAAGCCAGGCAGCAGGAGAGCGAAGTAGGACTCCGTGTGGCTGGAATGTCCAGTTCTGGGTGGGATGTGAGGGCAGTGAGCTCCCAGGCCTTCTCTGGCTTTCTCCCTTGGATTTCAGGCGTGTTGGTCTTATTGATCATCACTCTGACTGGGATGATTAATACCCTGGGGCAGGTGCAAAGTGGAGCTTACCTTGCCTAGTGGTTGGGGCACAAGGTCTGCACCTGTAGAGCCGTTAGAGGATGACCCGGGGGGTGTGATTTGTCTGGTGCCGCTTGTGCCTTGGGGATGAAGGAAAGACGCTTCCTCCCGAGGTTCCTGTGTGCCGTGTCTCCAGTGTGCTAGGGCTGTGCAAGCGAGTGCTATCCCGGGCCATGCGGAGTTAAGAGGAATGATGCCATGGGAACTGTGGCTGGACTGCAGGCGCCTGCCCTCTCAGGACAGTTGAAAAATTCAAACACTGTGCAGGCAAGAAAGGAAGATGGAAACGGGGCCTGGCTCAGTCTGGCTCTTTACTCTTTACAAAGTAGGTAAATGCAGGACACCTACTTTGAACTGTGTGACAGTTTCCAAATTCCAGGCCACAGCTGTCACCCTGATCTCTTAACCTCGAATTGTCCACAAGGCCTTAAGGACAAGGATTAGCCTCACCACATGTCTGTCCCATTCCTTTCCCATTATAGATGGGGGAAGGTATGGGGGGCCAGGAGGAAGAGGTGCAGGGTGTTGTGGGCTGGCATCAGCTACTCCATTTGAGTTACCCACTATTATTGCTGCCCATTTCATGTAAAGCCACATAGAGTTTCTGGGATCTCTGCCTTTACTGTGTTATAATGAGGTGGGAAAAAAAAAGCAAAAACAAAGCATTTCTGGGTCTGGTCCTGGGCATCTGATTTTTGGAACCTCCCCCAGTGACTGAACTGTGGCCTGATGGAAAATCACTGCTCCCAGGGATGGGTGGGTATTCTAGAACGAGATCTGGAAGGTTCTGGGATGCTTGTCTTGCCAGCAACTCTGTAGCAGGCGAAGGGGGTGTGCGCTGGCCAGAGGCTGCAGGCCCAGCTCCAAGCTTCTGGCTGCTTCCTTGGCAGTGACAAGCTTTGTGAATTAGTGCTCCACAGTGCAGAGCTCCCTCTGTGCATTCCACAGAGCCTGCTTTCCAGGTGAGGAGTGCTGGGGAAGCAGAAAAGGGAGAAAGGGGAACAAGCTCAGTGAGGCAAGGCCGGCCGTGAGTTGCCGAAAGTGAGCAGAGTGATAGGAGAGGGAACCCTTGCATCAGGCACAGGTGGGGCTGCAGGGCCTGAGCCTTCCTGGAGGAGATGACAACTAAGCCAGGTAAGGAAGGGAGGCACGAGCATTCTCAGAGGCAGAGCAGGACCCAGCTCGCCAGGGCACAACACAGGCTGGGGTCACTGGGTGACAGAGGGCACACAGGAGGACGATGGGGTTCATGTGAGGCTGGAAAGACTAAGTGGCCATGCAGGGGCTTCGTTGGTACACAGTGAAGGATGTGAGAATGATTTGTCTTCCCCCAGAGAAGACCAAGCGACTCCTCTTCCTCGGGGCCCAGGCCTACCTGGACCATGTGTGGGATGAAGGCTGTGCCGTCGTTCACCTGCCAGAGTCCCCAAAGCCTGGCCCTACAGGGGCGCCGAGGGCTGCACGTGGGCAGATGCTGATTGGACCAGACGGCCGCCTGATCAGGAGCCTTGGGCAGGCCTCCGAAGCTGGTGAGTGGCACCAGCAGCCCTTCGTGGCTGTGGCACTGAGAGCAGGTGGTGGCACAGGCACTTTTCTTCATTTGCAAGCTCAGGCTTTTCCTCCCTGGGGAAGCAGGAGTCTGACCTAGAGCTTGGCCTTCTGGCTCAGAAGGCTCCTGTTATCAGGAGGTCTCACATTCAAGACTGGAAGTGATTAAATAGTTTCTAACTACTGGGCCAGAAAAGCAGCAGAGACTCCCTGGGTATCCCATCTGCTTTCCGCGTGCAGCCCCCTGGAATGGTCCCACATGGCTGGAAACACGCCGCTCCCATCCCTGTGCAGTGTGGAGTGTGGGTCTCAGAGCATCACCTGTGTTGCTGGTTAGAAATGCAGTCCCCGACCCTACCTCAAGGCTGGTTGGTGTGTCTGGGAGGAGCTCAGGCACCTCTTGGTTAACCAGTAAGGCAGTGGGCCACACTTTGAGACCCAGATGGGACACATGGAGTTCGACAAGCAGCAGGGGAAGAATGATCCTTCCAGCAGGTAGCAGAGGGACCTGGTGAGGGAAGGAGCACTGAACTTGGAGTCACCTGCAGGCATGTCTCACGTTGGATCTCGCTAGTGAAACGGGGTCCTGTGCACTGTGCCAGGCTTCTGGGTTGTCAGAAGGACCCAGTGTGGGTGAGGATGGGGTAAGCAGGTCGGAGCCCTCTGCCCTCAGGTGTGCATGGAGGCAGGTAGCCCAGCAGTCCCGGAAACTCCCGTCTCCTTGCAGGCTGACAGCATGGCGTTTCTTCCTCACAGACCCATCCGGGATAGTGTCCATCGCCTGCTCCTCATGTGTGCGAGCCGTAGATGGGAAGGCCGTCTGCAGCCAGTGTGAGCGAGCCCTGTGCGGGCGGTGTGTGCGCACCTGCTGGGGCTGTGGCTCTGTGGCCTGTACCCTGTGTGGCCTCGTGGAGTAAGTACTTCAGTCCCTGGAGCTGCTGAGGTCCCGTAACCCCAGCAAGCTGTGACGGGGGACGGGTGGGTCACCCATGTTGGGAAGGGCCCAGAGCTCCCACATGTGTGGCACCTGATGCAGTGCCATCTGGCATTGCCTAACGGGACATGGTGGCAATAGATGCTTGGCCCAACTTTAGTGGTAGTAATCCTCTCTAAGGGAAAGCTCAACCTCACAGATGACCTGCTGTGTATCCAGCTCCGGTCCCTGTCTTCAGCCGCTTCCTGTTCTGGTCTTTGAGCGCCCCCACCTCCTCCTCCTCTGGCCTTTGAGCACCCCCCTCCCGGTCCTCCTCACTGTCTGAGAAGCCCCTGGTTGGTGACACAGGTGCACACTGCAGCTTCGCCACAGTCATGCATGCTGTTTGGTTGTAGACCCTCTCAGGCAGGAAGTGGAATGTTTGCATAGTCTCCCATTTGTGGGTGGGTTTGCTGCAGCTGGCTGGATCCTGTCCTTACTCCTAAGGTGGGGAGGGGCGTTCTCACCACAGGGGCCACTGAGCTGGTGGGTGGGAGTGGACAGTGTGGAGCCTGTTTGCCCTGCCCCTTGAGAAAGATGACTTCATCCGGACACATGTGGAACTGGCTCTGTAGACCCAAAGCAAGCTTAGTCCAAACAGTGTCTGAAATTGTCCATCTAAAATAGAAACCACATGTTACATCTCGAGTCCTTTGTCTCGAGCCTTTCTTCAGTCAGGGCAGAGGCCTGACTCATTGGAGATGGCGAGGCCTGGGCAGAGGGTGGGCAGCACCAGGGAGAAGCGCCGCGTGCCTGTGGTTGGCTCCCATGGCTTCAACATGGGCAGGAGTGGGGTAACGCACCCCATCCAGGTTAGGAATCATCTGCAGGGCATCCTGCCCATCCTCTGCAGGGCTCTCCAGCTGGCTTCTGGTGGCAGGGAAGGGGCTGTCTTCCCGGCTTACCCACAGTACTATTGGCAAACTCTGCAACACCGGGTGGCAAGCAGTTCTGGCTGCCTTGTTGACTCCATGGTCCTATCGTGTTTGGGATAGCCATTGCCGGTCTTGTTTCCTCGCAACGTCTCTCTTCATCACTTTCTCCCTGTGTTTTGCTGGTTTCTCTCACCTTTACCCTTAGAGCTTTTTTTTTTTTTCTGAGACAGAGTCTCACTCTGTCATCTAGGCTGGAGTGCAGTGGCGTGATCTTGATTCACTGCAACCTCTGCCTCCTGTGTTCAAGCAATTTTCCTGTCTCAGCCTCCCAAGTAGCTAGGATTACAGGTGTGCACCAGCACGCCCGGCTAATTTTTGTATTCTTAGTAGAGATGGGGTTTCACCATGTTGGCCAGGCTGGTCTCAAACTCCTGACCTTAGGTGATCCTCCGGCCTTGGCCTCCCAAGGTGCTGAGGTTACAGGCGTGAGCCACCATGCCCGGCCCTACCCTTAGTCTTGATACATCAGAAGAAAGCACTGTTTGATGTGCTTCAGTGTAGACCACTGTGGTTCGGTGAATTCTGGCAGGTCATCTGGAGGTTTCTTTGGAGAGCTTCTATCCTACTGGAAACCCAGGTTGGGCTCCATGTAAATTGGTTGGCAGTGGGAATCAGCTAGGGCTGCTGTACCTGAGTTCGCAGACCAGGTGGCTTAGACAGCAGGGAGGTACTGCCACACGGCTTTGGAGACCGGAAGTCTGAGAGGAAGGTGCTGGCAGGGCTGGTTCCTTCTGGGGCTGTGATGGGAAACCTGTCCTGACCTCTCCTGGCGTCTACTGTTATCTTTGGTGTTCCCTGTAGACAGCTGCCCGCTCCCTGTAGCTTCATGTCTTCCTTCTCTGTGTCCTTCTCTTCACGTGGTAGTCTTTTTAGGATGCTGGTCGTGTTGCCTTAGGGCCCCTACATCAGTGCCATCATCTAGACTGATTCTGCCGGCAGTCATCCTGTCTCCAGATAAGGTCTTGTCCTGAAGTGTTCTGGGTTAGGACTTTGACGTGTTTGAATGGTGGGGACTGGTGGACACAATTCAGCCCCTGACAGCAGCTTTTCTCTCCCCTCCCTGACGCTGTCGCAGCTGCAGTGACATGTACGAGAAAGTGCTGTGCACCAGCTGCGCCATGTTCGAGACCTGAGGCTGGCTCAAGCCGGCTGCCTTCACGGAGAGCCACACCATGCATGGCAGCCTTCCCTGGACGAGCGCTCGGTGTTCACACTGAACTGTGGGGTCAGTGGGAAGGCCTTTTACATGTTCTATTTTGTATCCTAATGACAGAATGAATAAACCTCTTTATATTTGCACAAGAGGACTCTTGTCTGTCAGCACTTCTGAGGGTGGAGTTTGTGACCCTCCACCTGGGATGGCCAAAGAAACAGACAGTGGGCGGGGCCTGCTGCACCTGTTGTCTACCCACCAGCTCCGAGAGACCCCACTGTGCATTGTGTGAGGCCCCTCACTCGCCTCCTGCTACAGATGGGAAATCTCAGCCCAGAGCACGCTCCTCCCCAGCTTGCCCAACTGGTAATGGGGAGAAAGGACCCAGGTCTGGCTCCAGGGTACACAACCAGTGTACTAGACCCTCGTGGAGAGAGGTGATACTCGCACACCATCCCCAGATGCCACTGTCATTCACACCTGATCCATCACATCTTGGTGTCTAGTTTACTTTTTTGGTGCCTGTGTGGTCAGACCCTGTGTGATTGATAGGCCCCTGCCCTCTGGGAGCTTTGCTCTAGCAGGGAGATGGCCGTAGCAGTGCTCCCCCTGCAGTCAGTGTAGCTTGTGTGGGGCCTTGAAGGAAGAGGAGTTGACAGGAGAGGAGGCGGGGTGCCCTGGAGGACAGAAGAGGGCTTGAGTGCTGGTCCCCACACAGGTCCACTGAGGCGGGTCCCAGCCCCTCCAGGGATGAATGAGCAGTGGAGCCACAGCCCCTCGGAGAAGCTCTGGACTAGAGTAAAGGTTGGTTGGGGCAAAGGGTGGGTGGGAGCGTGTGCCGGGGATAGTTAAGAAGAGCCTTCGCTGTTCCTGGGAAGCTGTTGGAGGAGCAGATGATGCTGATTCTTAGAGAAAAGTCAGTGGTGCCCAGGTGGTGGGTTGGAGCCAGGCCCAGAGTGGGATTTGCTGCCCTGGGGCCAAGGATATACCACTCCCATGTCACGGGTAGAGGGGACCCTCAGAGAGGTGGTCAGCATGGTAAAATTCCAGGGGGCAACTTAGAAGGGGATTGCAGAGGACTGGCTGGGGGCTTCCTGCACTGAGGACGACGGCCTTGACCGTCTGCCGCGAGCACCAGCAGCAAGTGGCCACAGTCAGCCATGTGCTGACTCCTTCCAGGTGTCCACAACAGACTGCCACCCAAGCCCTCATTTCTGTTACTCCTGTCGCTGCCCCCTCAGGCCTGTCGGCTTTTCCCTTCATATCCTCTGACTGCATCCCTGCCCCACAGGACCACACTGCTCCAGCCAGCCTGCCTCCCTCCCCTGTGGGGTCACTACATAGCGCCCTCCAGGCTCCCTGCTTCTGCCCTGCACGTGGCAGTCTGTCCTTATACAGCAGCCAGATCTGTCACTCCCCTGTCCCAACACTCCAGTGGCTAAACATGTCTTTAAAAGTAAAAGCCTGTGGCCCCACAGCCTCTGGCTTCACCCCTTCTCCCCCGTCCCAAGGCTTGCTCTGTCCCAGCCCGGCCTTCCTGCTGTTCTGAGAATGCTCAGCATGTTTCTCCTGCACCCCCTTCACTCCCTCTGCCTGGGGAGCTCTTCCTCTGGACCGCCATAGGGCTCCCCCGGATTCAGCTCAGAGAAGCATCCCAGTGCCCTAATGTGTAGGACAACCCCTCCATCACTCTCCGTCCCACCCTACCTAACTTTACTACTGGATGTAATGCATATTTAAGCAAATATGCAAATGTACTTATTCTCTCTACTAACTGAGGTGTCGCTTCCATGAGGGATGGGATTTTGCCTAGAGCAGTACCTGGCATATATGTTTATAAATATATCTTGGTCTTCCAGCTGTGGTGGAGCAATAAAACTGGCCCATAGACGACCAGATGTAGATACAGATACAGATCTGTAGACAGCAGACAGCAGCCAGTGCAGGATAGCAGTGCCTGAGAGAGGGAACAAATGCCAGGAGCCCAGGGCAGCTGGAACACTGGAGTAGAAATTGCCTCAGTGTTGTTCCCCACAAGGCTCCTGCTGAGGACTGATGGCTCCTGTGTGTTGGGAAACTGCCTGAGGCTGGGGAAAGAGCCATTGGAAGAAAGCAGGAAGCAAGTCACATTCCCAGCACTAAGTGTGGAGAAACATCATTCATGGAGAACAGGGTAGAGGACTCAAAAGGATATTGATGCCATATTCAGGCTAGATTAGCCCTAGACTAGAGACTGCTCTGTGCCTTCCTAACAACTTTAAGTCAAGCCTCAAAAAGACCAAACGGTTGCAAGTACTTTAATAGAATCCACAACAAAACTCAAAAGTAAGGGGGAAACATTTTGGTTTTTTTTAGAACAAACATGAGGCCGGGTGTCAATAACTCATGCCTGTAATCCAAGCACTGTGGGAGGCTGAGGCGGGTGGATCACTTGAGGCTAGGAGTTTGAGAACAGCCTGGCCAACATGGCAAAACCCCATCTCTAAAAATACAAAAATAAGCCAGGCATGGTGGCATGTGCCTGTAATCCCAGCTACTCGGGAGGCTGAGGCAGGAGGATCACTTGAACCCAGGAGGTGGAGGTTACAGTAAGCCAAGATCTCACCACTGCACTCTAGCCTGGGCAACAGAGCGAGACTCCGTCTCAAAAAAAAGAAAAAAAAAATAAACCTGCAAAGAAGCAGGAACTACACCACACAATGAGAAGAAAAGTTAGTCTGTAGAAACAGACCCAGAAATGACACTGGGTGGTAGAATAATTCTGTCTACTAAGTAGACAAGGACATCAGAATGGCCATTATTAAGAAGGATAGAGGAAAACAGGAGCATGTTAAGAAAAGGAATGAAAGACATAAAAATGGCCCAAACAATTTCCAGAGACAAAAATACAACGTCTGAGATGGAAAATACACTGATGAGATTAAAACCAAAATAGACATTGCAGAACAAAAGATTAGTGGACTTGAAGCCATAGCAGTAAGAACGATCCAAAAGGGAACAGAAAAAACATGGGGAAAATGGCAGAGCCCCTCTGAGTTGTGGGACAAGTTCAGGCAGCCCACTGTGCCTGTAACTGGAGACCCTGGACGAGGGGCATAGCAGGGTGGAGACAACTTTTGGAAAAAATAACGGTAGGCTGGGCGTGTAATCTTAGCACTGTGGGAGGCTGATGCTGGCGGATCACCTGAGGTCAGGAGTTGGAGACCAGCCTGGCCAACATGGTGAAATGCCGTCTCTACTAAAAATACAAAAATTAGCCAGGTGTGGTGGCAGTTGCCTATAATCCCAGCTACTTGGGAGGCTAAGACAGGAGAATCACTTGAACCTGGGAGGCAGAGGTTGCAGTGAGCTGAGATCGCGCCACTGCACTCCAGCCTGGTCAATAAGAGCGAAACTCCATCTCTAGATAAATATAATTAAAATAATGACTGTAAAATTTTCTAATTTGGTGGAAACATAAAGCCACAGATCCAGGAAGCTCAATAAACCCCAATAGAAACATGGAGAAAATTACATGAAGCACATCATGAAATTCCTCCAAACCAGTGAAAAATAAAAATCTTAAAAGCAGCCAGAGAAAAAAGGCACTTTGTGTTTACAGGAACAAAGAATGGCAGCGAGACTTCTCACTAGAAACTGCAAGCAGACAGTGAACAACACCTGTGGGTTGGGCAAATAACTTGAGTAAACTTATTTATTTATTTATTTATTTACTTACTTATTGAGACAGAGTTTCCCT